AATTACAACTTTGTCAAAAAATTTATTAGGTCATGAAATGGTCCATTGCATTGAGAATGATTTACTAAGCATCAACTTGGATAGTTAATTATAGAAGGAGTGGTAATTATTATAAATATTGATTAACAAAGGATAAGGATATCGATATGACATATTGTGGTTATTGATGAGTATGTTAATATGTTATTCCTCGACTTAGGCTTTATTTTATGGATGAACTTATAAATGAAGTTACCTAGGTAAGGCATATAACTATAAACATACCTATCGATATATAAAGTCTTACTAAATGAATCTAACGTCTCCATGTCTGATGTGATTGTGTTACAACGAATTAGGAGATGTGTCACTAGCACATGACACTATTGTTCAATTGTTGTCACAACAAAACACTCCATTAAATAAATACACATATTTTACTTTAATTAACAAATGATGAGATGATATTTGTTTTTTCAACTTAAGTAGAAACAAACTAAATTGGGTAGTCATATGAGTCGTCTTATCATCATATTTTGATCTATTCGATCTAATGATAATCATCCATTTTACTATTCATTTGGATTGATTAATTAATTACGATTAAAATGGTAATCCAATTTCAGATAAGTTTGAATTTATCCAAACTAAATTATATACGATTTTATAATATGTTTGTCTAAGTAAAGTTTGTCCAAGTATAATCTCATAAGTCATAACTCAACTCGAGTCAATTTTGTCATGCATAAATATTAAACCCTTTAATACTACTATTCACTTTTCTACTTCCGTGCATGTGAATAGAGACTTGCGTGTGGATAATACTTTGTAAAATATAGGCATGCAAATGCAAATGCAATAGCATTAGAGTTTCGAGTATTTCGACCATTAGAAGAACGAAGTTCAGGGGATCTGTACTTGGACTGCTAGTTTGCTGGTCAATTTTTTGATTGATTTTAACTGGATTTATAAATGATAACTCGTGATGATATTTAAAAAAACAGTTCTATTTATCTTTTTTGCTTTTTAATTTTTTACTAAATTACATTGTTATCCTACATAATATGTCATAATCATCCCTCTAAAAAAAATTAAAAAAAATATGTCATAATCATTGTAAAGAGTTACCTGAAAAGAAGGCCATTTTCTATCATCCACTTGAACATTCACATAAATGATAAATCCCCTTTGTCATGCATTAAATTAAAGGTAATAATTCGCCAGTGAAATGACAAAATAATTTTTAATTTAATTTGTAATACGTCATAGTTCAATTAGTAATGTATAATTAGATTTTACTTAGATCAATTGATCATAATTATTAACATAAGAAAAAAAAATATCTTAAATACACCGATTCATTCATCATGTAGTCACGACTCGTGAGTATACAAGAATATCCACTTAATATATACGTAACACTGATAAAGAAATACGTACTTCTATTAAAAAAAATAAAAATAAAAATGCGTGCTTCTACCATCAATGTAAGATTCTCACCAAAAAAAAATGGCACTATTAAAATGGGTCGGGTCCGATTAGCATGTAATGTGACACGCGGCAAAATCTAATTAGCTGAGCCGCCATAATTTTGTACTCTGCTAACGAATGCTCTATAATTTCGGATCGGCCATTACTAAATTCAGAAACCAGCATAACCGCAACATGAGTACAAAATATCATATTCGTCTTAGATTTACCGCATCATTTGTTTTTTATTTTTTTTAAATTAATTTATTTATTTATATTGATTGTAATATTGTTCTTGAGAATCCAATGGTACGGAGTAGTAAACTAGTAATTATATTAATACATGTAATATTTGACTTTTTTTTTTTTTATATATATATATATCATCAAAAACTTAACTTTAATTATTAATATCTCTTGATCCGTATATGAGAACAAAGCTAGTACTCGTATAAAATGAAATTCATTACAGTATATTTAAAAAAAAATAAAAGAAAATTAAAATTTATTGCTCCATATTTTACTTATTGAATCTATCAAACAAAAATATCCCACAGATGCGTATTTTGTACCCTATCCATCCTCTGTAATGGTAGCAAACCAATTTGCATAAATTTTAAGAAAATAGTATATTTGAGTTTTCAATCCATTTTTAATAATAATAATAATAATAATAATAATAATAATAATAATATGATTTATTACAAAGAATTAAACACGTACTCGTATGTAGGGATGAGCTGATGAGCATAAGAGGGCACTCGACATGTTAAAAACCTATGGTTTAAGTTCCCGGTTCGATTTAGGGTACTTTTTTTTTTTTTAAATATATATATTTGTACTAATTTGCAAAAGTACTTTAAAATTTTTTTGAAGGGTCATAAATTTATAACTTGCAAATACAACAAATTAAAAATAGTTGTTTAACAAATTTAATACTACATATATCTATAATTATTATATTTATTATTATTTTTTAAAATTTGGGCTTGAATTGAGGTGTGATTTGGTCTTAAGTACATGATGCTTTTATTAGGTTATAGGGCACCTACCTTACAGGTTACGATTCCAAAAAATTGAGAGCTTGTAGCTGAACCTGTTGCAACATGTTCTCCATTTTATTACCCAGAATCAGAACATGTACAAGTTATGATTCCAAAACTTGTTAGATCCGGTTTTGGTTCAAAGTACCCTGATTTTTTGCTCATTCCTACTCGGATCAAAATTTTCAATGGTACAACTTAAAAAAAAAAAAAAGTTTTTAAAAATCTAATATGGTACATGTGTGGCTAGATTTTCAAATACAAAACCTATACTAGAACTAGAATGATATGTGCATGTAATATTTTATTTATATATACAATATACACTAACATAAAATAATCCCTAAAATTACTTGATGCATCACCCTTAACCACTATATTACAACTTCATAATTGGGACCCATATTATCATTATCATTTACTCTATTATTATAATACTATTTCACCAAAACATTTGTTCTAATAGTAACATGTCACGCATCAAAATTATCATTCTTGCAACTTGCAATTGAGTAGAAGTATTATAATAAGAACATTATTATTTCTAAAACCAAGCAATTAAAGAAGTTTAGAAGCTACGAACAAAGAATAGATGAGGAAAGGAGTATTCTAGAAGCTCGCCCGCCATTGGTGGGCGTGGGTCTAATCGTATTAGAATGCCTGTGGCCCGCTTCAAATATATCGTACCTTGACCAATGACCAGACGGCATGACCGTTAATTTTATTTATTCACACATTTTTATTTTTGGCTTTTTGGTGTTAGGAGGGGATATTTTTAATTTAGCTAACTTATCTTATAAAGTTATAATATTGGTCACTTTTGCTCTTTCAAACTTTACCATAATATTTTCCTAAAATTAAAAAAAAAAAAAATTTACCATAACATTGATCGCATTATCGCATCATACATTTATATTCATTAACGTTCGAATTGTACACATTACCAAAAAAAAAAAAAAAAAAGGTTAATACTTGTATATAAATAGCATCAAATTAAATAATTGTGAGTATTTAGGAGCTAGTGAAATAATAATATAATACTATAATAGTAATAATTGTTGTCGTCCAATTAATAATTAAAGAGTGGTTTCTCTCCATTATTTGACTATATTGTCAATTGGCCTTATCTTAGCTCTAATTTCAACTCAGTTCAATTTTCCTGTCTCAAGCCCAATTAATACAATTAAATTTTGTTCTAATTCATTCAGTTTATTGTTTAGGCCATGATCTCTTTACTTCATTTTTACCTAAATGTAATAATTTTTTTACCAACTTAAAATTATTTATACTAAAATTAAAGCATTTTTACTCGAAATTATGCTTGTTTTTACTAAAGTAAATTTATTTTCTTTTTTTTAAACACAAAGTAAATTTATTTTCAAATAGATGTAACATAGTAACAATTACATATATAATTAGGATAACATGTATTTTTAAATATCCGCCCCTTTTTTCTTTTTCTCTCTTCTCCCTCCTCTATCTGCTAGGGTTTTAGTTTTCTTGGCCGTTTAGGCCGGAAATAGTCTCATTTCTTCGTAAATTAGACTATTTTCGACCCTTTTCTTTTAATTCAATTTAGTTTTTTGTTTTGCTTTACGTTTTGTTTTGTTTTGTTCTCTCCGTCCGTGAGAGTTTGTCCCAATTTTTTGGATTTTTTTCATTTTTCTGGGATTTTGATTCTCATCTATGGATGAGAATTTTATTTTTAGGGTTCTTATAATAATTGAGAAGGTGATTTGGATTCTTATGGGTATGGGATTTGTCATCAAGTGGTCGATCAAAACATTAGCGCGGATTGCGGAGGTCTCAACTTGGAAAGATGCAAAGACATCGAAAATCATTGCTCGCGTCAAACTTGAAGCGGTGGAGTATGAGCTATGCCGAATATGCAAATTAGTTATGATTTTGATTGTAAAAGTTATGATATTTTCTCTAAATCTGTGGTTTATAGATCTTTATTTTTGTAGATACCGTATGACTATTATTTAATGATATTATTACTTCCCATTCAAAAAATAAAATAAATATAAGGATAACATAACATGTTTATCCTAATTATATATGTAGTATATATCCCAAATTTCACAATGCATATCAGAGCTCCATTGTTTTAAACAATAATACTCGTAGTTTGATAGACATTGCTTTAATCTAATGTATGATCAAATTCATATAATTAGTTACTGCTAATGTTTCATACTTAAGCTAAACATACTCGGTGCCACGTAATTTAATTGAAATGGAGGTAGCTTGTCAAATGTGTCACATTAATAGAAGCATTGGTATCAAATTGATTAAGTTAACGTTGAACTTTAATTTTTAATCTTAACGTTATTTTATTTTTATCACCATCTGCGATCCATATGACTAATTCCCAATCCAAAACACAAATTAATATATACTAAACTCCCCTCACAACTTTATAGGTTTTGACCACCCAATAATTGATATAAAATTTTTGTAGCTTTAGGTAATAATCATGGCCTTAAGCTGGACCATCTGAAAATATTTATTAATCAAACAATTATCCTAACCTACACTTTAATTAATTAACTAATAAAAATCTTACAAATTGAGCTGGATTAATCTCTTAATTAATTCCTTCTTTTAACAAAAAGCGACCAGGAGCCGAGAATGATGAGAAAAGATCGAGTTAAAAAAAAAAAAAAAAAGTAAATTAAATATATGAGAAATATACTACTACTAGATTGTAGGTGACGTCACTCAAATTACTCAGCTGCAAACTGATGACCTGGCCGCCACGAGTCATTTGACCCACGTGTATTTTTTGAATTTAACGAATTTGATTATGACCTATTTTAGTTATTATATTAACTTTCCAATTTCATTCCCCTTAACTATATTGTGTTTCATCATTATTGCTTGAATTATTTTCTTCATATATAAAAGGAAGTAGTGAGCCAAACTAATCCTTCATCACTTTCACATTTCACATCTTTCATTATATTACCAACAATTAAACAAGCTTATTTACTCAAAAAACAAAAAAAAAATAAAATAAAAAAATGAATTCATCATCTTCAGAGTGTTCATCTTTTAAATCTTCATCTTCAGAATCGTTCTCGTGGGAAGAATTTAATCCATCTAATATTCTTCCCTTCATCGAGAACGATTCTGAAGATATGTTTTTGCTAGACATGTTGTCTAGCAATAACATACCAAATATTACCACCACGACCACGACCATGACCACGACCAATAATGGATTGCCAACTTCATCCTCCTGTTCGATGATTCGAGTCAAGGAGGAGGAAGTGACATCCTCAATGTCTAATACAATCAAAGAAGAGGCCGCGATTATTACCCCAAGTGAAAAATCATATAGAGGAGTAAGAAAAAGACCATGGGGTAAATATGCAGCTGAAATTAGGGATTCTACAAGAAATGGTGTAAGGGTTTGGTTAGGTACTTTTGATACACCTGAGGCAGCTGCTTTAGCTTATGATCAGGCCGCGCTTTCGACTCGTGGGACGCTGGCTGTACTTAATTTTCCGGTGGATGTAGTAAGGGATTCGCTTAAGGAGATGAACTATGAGTTTGGAAATGGGTGTTCTCCTGTTTTAGTGATGAAAAATAGACTTTCTATTAGGAAAAAGAAGTCTATGTGCAAGAAAAACAGAGTTAAAAGCAGGGGATCATCTTTGGAAAATAATGTGTTTGTTTTTGAAGATTTGGGTTCTGATTACTTGGAACAATTGTTAACTGCAAGTGAAACCATGCATTAGTACTTAATTAGTTAGATTGAGGTGATACTTTTCATCATTTACCTCTTAAATGAAAAGTATTGTTCTAATTTTGTGAATTTCTAGATTTTTTTTTTGGGAAGATTTTCTTGTAAGATTTTGGATTTTTTTTTTTTTTTTTTTTTATTTTATTTTTTATTTTTTTTTTTTTTTTTTTTGGGGGGGGGGGGATTTGGATGAATTATATTACATCAATTCTTAAATTTTTTTTTATTTGCATATAACTTTTTTTTTCCTCTTTCAAATACATAAATCATAGATTTTGATATTGCCAATCTATTAGGATTTAGGACTATCTACTACTATGATGATCATATTATTTTTTTTTTTTGAGAAAATATCATATTAATTTTTAATTTTGTATGTTAATTGTAAATTTTAAGGCAGTACAAATTAGGTTGATTCAAAAATTATTTATGAGTCGTTACTGTAAAGTTATCAAGTTGCAATAAAAGTCGAATAAATAAATATTTAAACATTATTGTTGACATTATCATGGGTACCAATTGTCAGCTTGTGCATTACAAGTTGAGATAATCGTCTTATTATTTCTATATTTTTCTTGATTATATCCCCCCTCTATATTATAAACAATCCAACAGTACTAGGAAGTTATTGGAGGAGTGCAATCTAGTAGGGACTCCTCCATCCTTCTCCAATTATAATTAAGAATCTAATAAATTAATACTAATTAAGTCATAAATAATGAGGAGAGACAACTTGTAAATAGACATAAATCTGTTTTATCTAATTTCATGCATGAAAACTGCGGACTCACAAGTCAGACAGCCCAAAGAAGCTAATAAATAAGCTTATTATAAAACTCTTACACATGATAATATGGCATTTTCAGCTACTTTTCATATGAGCAAATGACCTATGCGCTATTTTTAAATCCTCTGTGATCATTTATACGAAGTGAAACACATTCGGAATTATTTGTCAGAATTATCAATTCCCAATTATAATAAACACAAGATAAGTAGACATCAATCATCATATGTAGAAATTGTCAAATTTTTAATCCCCTTCAATTTCTCTTCATGTGGCAGTCTTTGTAATAAGAAGTTTGTAAATTAAAATGGCCTTAGATTGTGTCAAAGGGCCAACTCGATAAAATCTAGTTGATGGTTGAAGTCCTAGGCCGAGAGTCGTCTTTAACGATTAAACTGTAGACATAACACAAGCAATTTCACTTATAGTACTAGATTACATAATTCACTTTGAAAGTAAGGAATGGATGAGAATGAACCTGTGACACGTTGGCTTCGAACAACTTATCTAAAGGTATAAAATAATTGTTGAAGCCCCATGCATGATTAGATAATATTGAAAAAATCGAAGAATGGAAGTACTTTCATAGACTTATAAGTTAGTTGCTATATCTCCTCTTCTTGCATGTATGTGTATTTTATACTCATGTGTAGTATGGAATCTATATAAGGTCTAGCTCTAAGATGTATGATGTCAAAATGTGTGAAAGTGTCGAAGTTAGGTCTAGCTCTTAGATAAACGGTTGAAGATGTTTGAAATGATTGAAGTTTATTTTTAACAAGTCAAAGACTTTTTTCCTCTTCTTGTTTAGATGTTCCAATCTGAATACAAAAAAAGAGAGGCTTCTATTTTCTCGACACATAGTGATGTCATTTTTAAAATGTATCTTTCTCTAGTGGCAAGTTACTTTGAAGCAACTATTCCCTAGATATGCATACACACATGAACATATTCTGTGCTATTTTGATCATTGATGAATTAATTAAAAACTACTTGCATAATTTACAGCCTAGCTAAATTCTAAATAAATTCACCTAAATATTGTGATTTCTTCATAGTTCATATGCGTTTTATCTCGGTAAAAATAGTTTGAAACAATTGTGTTATATAGAAGTAATATGCTGTTAAATTATTAGAGTTATACACTCTCTAATCTAGTTGAACGGTGATTGTTTCAACTTTGAAAAAATTTAGAGACAAAGAAAATACTTTATATTCTTCATCTATTTTTTTTCCTTTCACATGGGACAATTTACATGCTATGAAATTTCCCCTTTTGACAATTTCCATCTTGTTAGCTTTAGTTATACTTGGAATAATAAATTTTTTTTTTTTTTTAGTGATTGTTGGTCTGGCCACACTTAGCCGGTTAGCCTCATATCATCATTATAAGCTTTTAGCTCTTTAATTTTATAGCTTAAAGACAAGCCGAACCCAAAAATATATCAAATATATACCACATAATAATTATAACAATAATATAATAGCTAAAAAATAAAATGATGCCTGTGCAATGTTCTTTCCCAATTAATGACACAAACCTTTTTAAACAGGTCAAGTTGTTTAAATAAAACCAAAAAACAATTTTTTATATTTTAACGATTATAATAATATATCTCTTTATAGTAACGAATATTAAATATATTACATAAAATTGTAACGATTCAGAAATGCAAGCTAATAACACAAATCATTTTAAGAGATGCATATATCATTTTTCTTTGTTTAAAAAAGTAATTAATATAAATCGATAAGAAGTGGACCCAATAATATGTTGATGATGATTCCCCATCTAGAAAACTAAAGTATATTATTGCAAGTTGATACATTATTTAATCTTCAAATGTTCAATGACCAAGATTTTTTTCCCCTTTATATGGGTCAAATATCAAAACATTTAGCCGATTTAGAGGTTGATCAAAATCATTCAAATCTTGTGATAAAGTTTCATCCTTTAAAGAGCATCAAGTGTTTTTTTTTTTTTTTTTTTTTTTTTGAAAGAAATACAGTATTACTTTGGTACGTTGCGTATGGAATTTGGTATCTGAATAAGGTTATCAAATGAGGTTAATTTTTTTTATAAAATAATGCAATTAGCAATTAATTAGCATCATATCAATCAGTTCAAACAGGAAATTATAAGACTTTTTGCTTGTCTCTTTGTGCTGTTAATTCTTAAATTTGGGTCCTTTTCACTTGTAGATCGAATTGTAAGGCTTGTGAATTTATTTTGTTTCTATGACATGAATAGTTGGCTTTGAGATCAATATTGACGAGTTTTGTACTTAAATTTTTCTGTCAATTTCTTACTACATGCATGCAACAAGTTAGCTTCACAATGTCTAGTTAAGATTTTTTTGACAATAACCATCAACAATTGTTGGTTTTTTTTTAGTAATAACCATTGACAATTTTTTGTATTATGAAATTTACCACCAACTTCTTTTCAAATTACTAAAACTTCCCAGAGTTTTATCAATTCATAAAATATAGATGGTAAATTTCAGTGTTTTGGAAAAAAAAAAGTAGATGGTAAATTAAAAATAAAAAAAACTTGTTGGTGATTATTACTAAAATACCGTACTAACAATTGTTGCTGGTTATTGTCTAAAAATTTATACACTTAGGCCTTGTTCACCTCATCTTACAAAAATAATATTAAGTAAAAATAATTTCTATTTGTAAAAATAAGTTCAGTCAGTAAAATTCAGTAATTATAAAGAAAAAATATAATAGAAAATCCGTAAAAATAATTTCAGTTTAGCAAAAATAATTTCAATTCAGTAAATTTAATTTCAGTACAGCAAAAAAAAATTAAGGTCAATAAAAATAATTTAAGTTCATTTAAAATAATTTTAGTTCAGTAAAAATAATTTCATTTCAGGAAAAATAAGGTGAAGTGAACCGGACCTTATTATATATCAGTTACACGTATTGAGAAGTGGAAATCAACATTTACTAATTTATACTTCGTACGTATCAGCTATATGATGAAAATCTAAAAAATATTTTGTACGGAGTAATCAATACTTGTATAATTATTATTCTCAATATTGTGCCATGGTATGTTATTTAATGTTGTACTCCGTACATAGTATATTAGTTGTCGTAGACCTCGTGGTGATTTGAATCATTAATTTGTAAATTGTGAATGAATTGTAAAAATAATTGGATCTCAAACCCTAGAGCTCTGATACCATGATAAATTTGGGAATAATTTGTAAAAATTCCTCTGACCTTTGATATTTCAGTTAGAAGTATTTATACATCCTACTATGCGGAGAGCCAAATAAACACATTAATTGCAAAAATAAACTAGCTGTACACAATTAGGAATATACTAGTCTCTTGAATTTCCTATAATTTATTATAAGTTGTGTTTGGTCCTTTGGTGTATTAATATCGTGTATATTCTTCCTTCCTTTTATAGTTTTATCATTACCAATAAGTTATTTCCCCTTCATAAATCAAATTCATGCATTACACAAGATTGAAAGCTAGAATTTGTTTCAAAAATAGATTGCGCTAAGCATATATCTCAAGAATTTTAATACTCCGTATAATTTATTTTATAGTGTTGTTAAAAGTTTAATCAATTATGTTTTTCAGCTGTGGGAATTATATTTAACATATTTCATAACACATATTCTTAGAGCTTGCCCTGAGTTCAGTGAGAAACAATTTTTGTCATCACATGTCAAATTTGTAAATATATAAACAATTTCATCCAATCACCTTATCATCATCAACTGTGAATCCTACATTAATAGAAAGTTGTTGATTTCTTTATGAAAATGTCATGTGATAAATAGTTTTTGTTTATCACTAAGAGAAACTTGTATTTTCTCTTAAACTTCGATATATTCGACCATTACTACTCCGTAATAAGTCCGTATCAAATAAGCTTATTCGAACTTTATTTAACTTAGATATTCCATATATTTTCTCAAGTAAAATTACATTTTTCTGAATTTATCTTATCGATCTCGATGTAACTTGATTGAATATAGTGATTAAATTTTTCTGAACTTTTCTTCTCTCTTTTGAGGGAGGATTTGTCTTTTTATTTAATGGATTGATATTGATCGAGTTGTTTCATGGGTAAAAATTGGTGTGAGATCGAAAAGAGTTTAATCTTTCGATTACAACTAGATAGACGAATTAGGCGAAAATTTTCTTCACGGCTACAACAAATCAATAGACCCTCTCATTGAAAAAGGCTTTAAATCACTGCAATGTGAAAGAAGGTATAAAGAATGTACCCAATTTGCAACAACGATCGTAGCTTTATTGAAAATATGCTTTTATTTGATTCAACTGTCATTTATTTGTTTGATATAAATCCTTTTATAGATGTTGTATGAATTCTTATTTATGAATCAATCATTGTTCCCAAAAAAAAAAAAACCCTCATAAAAAAATAAATTTTATGATAACGATTGTTATTAGGATCAGTCTTAACCTTGGAAATTAGGGAGTACTGTAGTAGGGAAGAATATTAATGATTAATAAATAAAATTCGAAATGCAATTTAATTGCTGGGATGAAGTGTTGACAATAATGTCCTTGTTGAATTAGTCAAGAAAATGATATTACAGTACTAGCTACATACTACATAGTGTAATACTAATATTTACGTAGTACTGTAGTAAGTAGTAGACATTAGACAAGTAGTTTGCAATTTGCAAATAATTTGCAAGAACATCATCACTGTAGACAAATTCAAAATGTCTATCACTGATTAATGATAAGATGATCATTATTACTGTTGAAAAAAAGAAATACGAGTTTGGCTTGTTTTGGTGCTACTTTTGGTTGCTTACAAAGTTTCCATTCATATTGGCTTCTGGCTTGAGTCTATTTTGAATATGGGCTATAACTTTTATTAATATAGTGAGAAAATTTGGTCACTGAATATATAAATAGTGCAAAAGCTACAAGTAGAAAAATTTTGATGTTTGTAGGCGTGTCTTTAGCAATTCGAGTTAACTAATATAAAGAAGATCAAGGAAAGTGTAGTAGAATCTTAGACAACAAAACATTGTACATTGTGTACTGTGATATTATTTAATTGGCAAAAGCATAAATGTTGCAAATCTCTAGGCATTTAGATAAATAAAAACTTCTCATGTTCAACTAACGATATTTTTCAATTTCTTAAAAATGTATTTATGTATGTAACGGAGCATAAATTCTTATTGAGTACAAAATGTTATGTCTTATGCTCAATCCCAAATGAATCCCAGGTGTTTATTCATTATATACAGCTTATCTATAAATTCCAAATTAAGGATGAAATTTTTTGTTTTGTATATCCATAAATATATGTAGGCACATCAATGAAACACATTTGTTAGAGCCGCCACTAGCTTACAAATGAGGTTGGTTTGGACAGTTGGACTCATTAATTTTGACTCATATGATTGAATTGAGATCTAAGCGTTGAGAGGTTTAGCAATTATATTGTCGGAAATTATGCCTATTTAGTATAGCTTCAAGCCCCACGTGTTAGGCTGCTCATCGTAATAGTTTCTCAACCAGGTAAGTGTCTAAGTGAGCCGTATCAAATCAGTGATCTCTCGAGGTTAACCCTAGCTATCATATTCAAGTCGGCCTTGCTGAAAGATCTAGAGATTTTAATTATATTTACAAGGTACACTGCAAAAAATACAAGAGATGACGACTCTGAATCGGCACCCTCTCACAGGTTAAGTCTGTCAAGGTTCGCAGATGAACGCTTGATTAAGAGTAGAGGGGAGAGGTAAAAGAATCCCCCTACTCCCAAGCAAATGTATGTAGTTACGTTTGTAAGGATCGAACTCATGACCTCAAAACCACAAGGTGAATTCCGATCTCTAACAATTTTACCAAGCTAACTTGGTTAGAAGTACATAATGTTGATAGAATCATAGTTAAAGTTTGTAATGTGATTATTGATTATGTGAATCCCGTCTAGAATCAAAATTGTGTAATACTCATATGAATTGAGGTATACCATAGTTTTTGGATTGTCAATAAAAATTCAAATTTAGCAAGATTAGGCACATTAAAAATTACTAGTGATACATTTATTTATTTATTTTATTTTGTGAGAGAGAATGGCAAAGCCAATTTTTTTTTTTTTTTTTGGTGCTTAGAGAGCCAAAGGGGCAGGGGTGAGAATAGATCCCAGGATCTCCTGAAACCGGAAGGAAAGCTCTAACCACTTGAGCTATCCCTCACTCTCAATGGCAAAGCCATTATGGACTTAACATTGCTCCGTAGTTAACAACTAAGTCATAATGTTATTGCACATGTTATACATTTCTAACTAATTATAATATGTACAGTAACAATAATGACAATTGACAAAAGCATAAAAGTTTGTAAACTTAATTAAAACAACACTTAGTAGAAAAAACAACTATTTACACTTATTATTTTACAATTTAATTTATAGACATATAATTAAGGGACGGAAAGAGTACTATTATTTTAGTCTACTATTTATGCATAAAGTTGAGAATGCGATGGTTGAGAATGTCGTCATGAAAGCTGAGTGCACGAGTTACTGTCATATGAAGAAAAATAGGAAGAGGATATACATACATATCGAAACGTTATATATATCGAAACGTTAGGTCTGCATTGGAGCTAATGTCTTTTTCAATTTACTCGTGAATAAGCTCGATTAGTGAAATTTTAAACTCAACAAAGGAATGAGTCAAATTCAAGCAACGAATTTCAGCCATACTCGTCTTGTCAATGTTTATGAATAACTTGTTTAAATCCATGTTTACACAGTGCATAACTCCTTTGAACTCATTCAAACTTGATAAATAGTGAATTATTAAATACGTTATAAATAACTGACTTAGACCATTTATCTCTTCCTTCAATTTGGCTCAAAATAATTAAATTAGTAATGATGCTGGGTGGACCAACGAACAAACTATGACATTTAGATAACATGATTTTGGGCTCAAGCTAGTACTTTATGAAAATTAGTAGGAAAGTTTATCAATTATTAGATCAAATTAATCTATAAGGAGGTAAGGAAATCCCTCTACTCCCAAGCATTTTGTAGTTGGTGGGACTCGAACTCGTGACCTCAAAGTCACAAGGTGAATTCCCCACTAAGTTCACCTAGCTTTGCTTGGTAACCTGTACTTGTATTTGATGAGTTAAAAAACAAAGTCAGAGTATGTGAATTCTTTGAAATAAATGCAGGCATTTTTTCCCTTTGTTTATTTATAGTCAATTCATCAAACATCATTGCAACATTTTATTGGATAAATAATGGAATCAATAAAAGTCGATATTACGGAATACCTCTTGATACTCTCTGTGTTATATTCCCTGAAAATAGAAGTGTAATGGCCAAATAATCAAAATTAAAAAAGTGAGGGGTAATTCATTTAGGTGGTTAAGAGCCTGTTCACATTTACTGAATTGGGCTGAACTGAACTGAATTGAACTGAACTGATTGGAGCTGAATTGAACTGATTAGAACTGAACTGAATTGAATTGAGCTGAAATAAATATTTTATGAGAGAGGGAAATTAAGAGCTGAACTGAACTGAACTGATTGGAGCAGAACTGAACTGAATTGATTGGAGCTGAACTGAACTGAACTGAATTGAAATTAAGTAAATGTGAATAGGCCCTAAAGCTCTTCTCTTCGGTTTCATATTCTAGAATCGATTACTCCGTATCATCACTAATTTGCTCTCTAAACACCAAATAGAAATTCTTTATTATTTGAAAAAACAACAACAACAACAAAAACACCAAGCAAATAGAAAAAAATAAATAATAAAATTCAAAAATATAATTTACGCTATATTTTTTCCGTGACATAAATAAATAATGTAGCCTTTTTTTTTTTAAGTTGTAGGCCAAAAAAGCCCAAAATTCACCTTCACAAACCCTAAAATTAAATCCCCTAAAGCCCTAATAATTTAATACGGAGTACTAGGTACTACTAATATTTTGTAACTTTCATAAAACCAAAAACCTAGTCCTTGCTTCCCAAGGAATCACCACACGTCCAAACCTTATAAATAAAACCCTAATCCTCTCATTTTTTTTTTACATTATTAAACTTTTATTAATCCAAAAATTAAATCTTTTCACAAAATAATGTCTTCTGGTTTGTTAGGCCCCCCGGAACTCCAATCCACCATCCATGCCACCACCATCTCCGCCCAACCAACCACCCATTCTCCGTCGTCGAATCAAACGAAAACCCTTTCTTACCTCTCCTCAGCCAACCCATGTCTAGATTTCTTCCACGTGGTTCAAGAAACCACCCCTTTAGACCTAATCCAACGGCTACAATTCTCTTGGCAAAATTCACCTTTAACAACCCTTAAACTCATTTGCAACCTAAGAGGTGTTAGAGGCACGGGTAAAAACATTAAAGAAGGGTTTTACGCGGCCGCGCTATGGCTCCATCAAAACCACCCTAAAACCCTAGCACTGAACGCAGGCGTTTTCGCCCGCTTCGGGTCTCTTAAAGACCTCCTCGAGATCCTGTTCAGGATTCTCGAGGGGGTCGATGTGAGGAAAAGGATGAAGGATGAGTGGGAGTCAAAAAAGCCGGCCTTCTTCGCGCAACGTTACACGAAGAAGGCCGCGGCTGAGGATGATCTTAAAAAGGCTAAGGTGTTAAAAGCTGAGAAAAAGGCTAATAAGGCGAAAAAGGCTATTGATCGGTATAATCATGACCCTGAGTATAGATTTTTGTATGATTGTATATGTGCTGTGTTTGGCAATCTTTTGAAAACGGATATGAAATTGTTAAAAGAGGGAGATTATGAAGATATTAGTTTAGCCGCGAAGTGGTGTCCGTCGTTGGATTCGTCCTACGACGAGTATTTGTTGATTTGTGAGAGCATTGCGAGGAAGGTGTTTCCTCGCGAGGAGTATAAAGAGTATGATGGTGTAGAGGAAGCACATTATGCTTATAGGGTTCGGACTCGATTGAGGAAGGAAGTATTAGTCCCTCTTCGAAAAGCCCTCGAGTTGCCTGAGGTATACATGTGTGCTAAAAGATGGAGGGACATTCCTTATGATAGAGTGGCCTCTACGGCTATGAATCTAGGGAAGAAGGTCTTCTTAAAGCGCGATAGGGATGGATTTGAGGAGTACTTAACCGATGTTAAGGAGGGTGATATGATGATTTCTGCTGGTTCTTTGCTTCCTCATGAGATTGTTTCGAGTTTATATGACTCGGAGAAGGAGCTTAATGAAGTCGCGGAGCTTCAATGGAAGAGGATGGTGGATGACTTAGACAAGCAAGGGAAATTGATAAATTGTAGTGCATTGGCTAATAACATAGCCGGGGATGCTTGTATTGGACTAATGTTGTTGGTTTCGGAGTTAACGAGTGAGCCGTGGAAGGGGAAGGTTATTATATGGGGTGAAGATCCTAAATTTCACAACATTGAGGGTGATAAACTTGTTGAAAAAGTTGAATCAATCAAAGATATGTTGTGTGAAAGTAGGGTAGATTTAGAGAAAGTGTTTGATAAAATTTTGGAGTTCACTATTGAGAAGAATCTGAGTGAAGATCAGATGTTAAGAAGGTTGTTTGTTTTCATTGATGAAGAGTTTATGAAGGTGTCTGATCATCCTTGGGAAACCGAGTATGCCGGGATTAAGACGAAGTTTCTTGATCGAGGGTTTGAGAAAGTACCGGAGGTGGTGTTTTGGAATGTGAAGGGCTCATTGGCTGTTCCTGTGAGATGTGATGTGCCTGGGATGGCGGTTGTTAGCGGCCTTTTGAAGAATCTGCTGACCTTGTTCTTGGATGATGGAGGTGTTTTGACTCCTGAGAGTGTGATGAATGCTGCTATCTCTAGCCCTGAGTATGATCAACTCGTTGTTCATGATTGATCTTTGTATTTATCATGAATGCTAAGTAAAATTTGTAACCATGCTTCTTTGAAAATAAATATAAATATCTTTGGAATTTTTGCGCCTTCTACTTAATGAATGTTTAATTCTAAAAGCATTATAGCAGAAAGTATGGAATTGAATTCGATCAAAAAAATCATTAACTCTATATACTTTGAGGTTGATTAACAAGAAGATTAGATGTATATCACAAAACTCTGTTATATATGATAAATAATTAGTCTGATAGCTTTTGCTTATAGTTTGTATACCTCGATTTGATAAATCAGTCTGACCTTGCTTTGATTCAAGTTGTTGTGTGCAAATATAGTCATGCATGTATAATTCAATATAAGAGTCCTATACCAGTGAAGTTATTGAATTTAATCAGAACAACTATGGTAGGAACCACAGTTAAAACACCAATATTTGTAATCCCAAGTCTTAAATTCTGTATTTCTTTGTTTTTTTTTTTTTTTTTTTTTTTTTTTTTTTGAATAGCTGTATTTCTTTGTTTAATATGAAGAATAATGCGGAGTATTAGTACATGTAATTTAGACTAAATTCAATCATCTGTTACTACCGTATAATATTCTGGCTTACCAATGTCTGCAAGCATACTGTATAAATGTTCTGGTTCTGTACAATTACATCTTCCAAGAACAAATAATACAATAAGTTATCTATTTTTCACAATTTTGCTAACTTGCAACATGATACCAGGTTTAGTCTGTCATTTGCTTCAATGACCGAAGAATACTTTTCAAAAAGATCATGATTTGAAATGTACTCCGGCATAATATACTATTAACATCAACCAAAATTTTGTGCTGACATCACATTCATTATTCGGTCTGTATAGAACAAGATAAGTGCGCTCTATATGATTATTCTGTGCAATTTACCTGGGGTGGAGGTTATTAGCAGCCTTTTTGAGAGTCTGCTCATCTGCTGACTTTGTTCTTGAATGATGGCGGTGTTCTGGCTCCTGAGATTATTGAATGCTGTAGTTTTGGTCTCCTGTGAAACTAACTCAATGAAATTGTTTACAATCTGCTGCCCTGATTGATAATCTGAAAGCAGCAAATGCTAACTTCATTAGTAAGTGTAATGATCAAGCTGTAACAAGTTTTGTTGAAGCAGGAAGTACAGGGAATTAGTTCAGGTTGTACAGTAGACTCCATGACTAATGTAAAAAGCCAATCTGCCTTGCTCAAGGAGTATCATTATGTGTTCTAAAACGCACAGAGAAAGCAAATTTGAATTCAAATTTTTTTTTTTTTGTATGATTTCTTTCTTGCAGCGATAATACCTGTTCTGTTTTGCAATCAGATCACCGAAAACCACCTACTTTGATAAAAAGCACAAATATTGCTAGGAAAAATTGGGAATGTTCAGATGTTCTGCCTCAAAATTTAAAAAAAGAAAAAAAAAAAAGAAGCTATTATTCATGTTTAATGCAACTTAATAATTTGGATTTATTGATGATGATAATCACTTATTGTGAAATTTAATTTATGCACATTTAACCTTTGGCGTCTGCAAGGACTGCAACTGATGGCCTGATGCACCAAATAAATTATGGTACTTTGCATGAGCTTTTTTCGCGTATGTTAGTGTTATGAACCCAATTAGTAGGCCAAATTTCTCAACTATCATGTATTTTGTCAAGGATCAAAACTCAAAATTTGCCAAGGCTGAACCTTAAAGAGTTTTTTTCCCTGATTTTTAATGAGCACTGAAATGATCAATTCAATTGTTATCTCTAATCTTGCAGTTCATAAGGATAGCTGCATTGCCTGCATACAGACCTATTGCAACTGATTCGTGCTTGATTAGCTAGTTTAACTAAGATCAAGTGCTTTATCTCATGAGTATATATAAATTATACATTCATCAAGGTCAATAATATACAACATAACACGGATCAATTAATTAATTAAACCAGTATTCGTATCATTTATATATAATTAGAGTAGTTATCAAACACAACATTACTGTAAGCAAGATCCTGAACTGCACAGATCTGATCGAGGGTGAACAAGACCAGCTGCATGAAATGAAATTGATATGCTGAAATTTGTCATAAAATTCCTAAATGCTCAATCATCATCAGAATTTATCGGAACAGTGCAGAATGGTAGGCAACATAATAAAATCACCAAAATCACCATTATGCCAATACTTCAAATTTCAAGTCTGAATTCTATTCATTATGTAGTAAAGCCTTAAGTCTGAAGTAAATGTATATAAGCTTAAATCAATCATAAGTCATAAACAACCAGCCTAATATATATCCTGGCTTACCAATGTCAGCAAGCATGAATGACTCAGGGTTCTCTATACCATCATCTTCCAATAATAAAGCAGCAAGATAATAAAGCTCAAATACGCTTAATGGATACCAAATTTTCTCAGACACAAGCTTCAGAATATACAAAGAGCACGTTCTCAATGCAAGGAACATCCGATTAAATCTGTTAGGAAAACTCTTTGTAAGAGTCTGATCGAAGATAAGAACCATCTAGGACCATATAGTATGATCTTCCTAGCTTGCACTTACATGATTTTGGGATCATGGTAATGATAACCAGTGAAATACTCCCACAATTTGTACTGATAGAGAAAGCTAACTTCACCTCAAATATCAAAACTTAAGAGCAAAGATAACATCAAGTACTTTCAGCAATATTATGTGCATAATTCTTCAAAAATTATGGAACTGTATGCTGAAATAATGAAATACAGGACAATACCCTGCAACAAGTAAATACATTGACAGGAAACACAAAAATAATGCAAGTTTATTCCATTGAAAAGTTAATGTTTTATTCACTATACATAAAGTAAAATCTCAAGTACAAACATTTTAATTCTCAAAACATCTATCAAGCTAGAACCAACCAATTATTGATCAATCATAAACAACAAGTGCATCATACTCTGGCTTAGCAACAGCAGCAAGCATAACCCCTTCCGGATTCAATACTCCACCTTCCTCCAAGAACAAGGTCATTAGATTCTTCGAATATCCACTAACAAGCGCAACCCCGGGTTCAGTGCTTGGAACTGGAGTAGCCTCAGAGTGCCTGAGGTTCCAAAACACAATCTCAGGCACCTTGTCATACCCACTCTCCTTAAACTTTCTTTGTATCACCATGTAATCTGTTTCCCAAGAAATCACATCATTATTCGGTTCCAAGTCATTTATCCCATACGAGAAAGGTTTCCAGCCAGAGGCCTCATTAAACTCCATGTCACTGAAGATAAACAACCTTTTTATCATCTGTTCTTGAGGGAGTTTCGCTTTCACTGCCACCTTCAAAATCCGATCAAACACCTTTTGCAAATCTGTGCTATATCCCCAGTCCATTTTCTTTACAAAGCTACACTTCTTTTTCAGTGTTCTTCCCTTAATTCTGTGTAACTGAGGATCATTACTAAAAGTGATTAGTTTCCCCTTCCATGGTTTCTCACTTAACTCGGAAATCAACAAACCAAGGGCTATAGAAACTTCCATTGGAATCCCATTCATAGACCCAGACACATCACTAATAGCCATACAGTTAGAAAACTTCCCCTTCTTTGCTAAATCATCCACCATCCTCTTCCACTGAAGCTCGGCCACCTCACCCCCATTCTTATCCCTCCACAACGAGACGATTATCTCATGAGGAAGCAGTGCCCCAGCAGCAATTGTCGCCTTACCACTCTTCACCTTCTCCAAGTATCCCTCAAACCTCTCCCTATCATTTTTATAAAACAAACCTTTGTACAAATTCATAGCCACAGAAGGCACCCTATTATAAGGCAATGCATCCCACTCCTTAGCACATATATAAACCTCCGGTAACTCAAGTGCTTTCCTTAAAGGAACCAACACCTCCTTCCTCAATCGATCACGAACCTTAAAGGCATAATACCCTTCCTCCATACCCCTATACTCGTCGAATTCTTCCTTCGGAAACATCCCTCTTGCAATGCTTTCACAAAGCAATGTCACTTCATCATATGTAGAATCAAGGGTGGGACACCATTTAGCAGCTAACCCTATATTATACAAATCACCCTTTTTAAGCAACTCAACATCTTTTCTCAACAAATCAACAAATACATCAGAAATTGAATCATGCAAAAGCCGAAAATTAGCATCTCGATTATATAACCTTAATATCTTTTTAGTCCTCTCATTTTTTTTCTTAAACCTCAAAACCCTAATCTTCTCTCTCTCCTCTTCACTCTTCTCCTCACCCTTATTTACATCATGGTCTTCTAATTCTTCCTCCATTAACCCGAAACCCCAACCGCGCCCTCCCATTAATCCGAACCCTCTACCACGCCCTCCCATTAACCCGGAACCCCTACCGCCCCTAAAGCTCCTACACAAGACTGGAAACTCTTCGGAAACTTCCTCCACACGCTTCCTAGTACCATAACCTTTCTCCACACGTTTCCTAGAATCAGTCCCCTCTAGAAGGCGGAAGAGGATCTCAGGCATATCCTTCAAGTATCCAAAACCCGAAATGGAGCTCATGTTAAGGGTTAGGGTTTTAGGGTGGTTTTCATGCAGCCATAATGCAGATTCGTAAAACCCTTTTTTATCCGATTTTCCGGTACCTCGTACACCTCGAAGATTACAGATCAACTTAAGGGTTAAGAGTGAATCGTATGACCAAGAAAGTTGTACAAGGTGTATGAGTTCCGAAGCCGGCGTGTCGGGGACAACATGGAAGAAGAAGTCTAAGGCAGGGTTTCCTGAGGTTAGGAATGTTGTGGATCCATTTTCCGTAAGGCCTATTATGTTTGGTTGAGAATTATTGCTAAGAGATAGAAAATTACTAGGGAAAAAATCAGAGAGATAGATTTTACTGCGATCGTTTTTGTCTACGGCAGCAGCGGCGGAGGCGATTGTGGTGGTAGGGAGGGAGGGAATGGTAATTTCTGGGGGACCAGAGAGTATTCTTGGAGCCATAGTTTTGGTTGTTTGAGTGTTATTTTTTTTTTAGGGGAATAGCGTTGATAATTTGATCTGATTGTCAGATTTTCAATTCATATATAGGTTTTTTTTTTAGGGCTGGGCCTAAAAGCAGGGATTTGGGATAGTATTTACAACAACCCCTGCCTCGCTTAAACATTCTCTGCCTACAGTACAAAATCCTAACACTATGATTAGGCTTTGGCCTTACCAAATATCAGCAATCTAAGATTTCTACAGATGCACTTGACATAATATCAGCAATCTAAACAGGTTTTTGATCTTTGAATTATTCTTTCTTGAAGGCTGCTGCGCTGTTGTAATCTAGTTTGTATTGCATCATTTATTCACATGTACATATATGAAGGTTAATTCTACGACATCAAACTACATGAACATTGTTCCCTCAATTTTTTTTTTTCAAAAAAAAAAAAAAAAAAAAAAAAATTGAATCGAATGCATCATTTATTGTGCTATACTCTTTAAGCCTACATGAACATTGAATCGAATGCATGTCTACAGAGTTCCTGATGAAAAAAGTCTATTTAAGCCATAATTTGCCAGAGACTTAATGAAATTCTTGGATTTTTGTTGCTGATCATTATCGATGTCAGATTGAATGAACTGGAAGTATTTGGAGTTGCAATAGCAGAGGCCTTGAGGAAACAAAAAAAAAAAGGTTCAATTTCACTGAATGTTAGAAGTTTAGAAACGACTAATGAGGTCAATTGCAACAATGCAAGGCTGTAGTTTAAAATAATTAGCAACAGATGAAGTCAGTAGCATCATTGTTCATGTATGTACCAATTGAGGTAGGTAGATACATATTAGATTTGATTTAATAACGCATTCATAATCTAAACATGATAAAAAACCATCATTAAGAGTACATTAATTCCAGGAAAACAAGAAAGCTATAACAAAAAAGAAAGCAACTTTATTCAATGAAACATAAACCTAACTGTTCTGAAAACTACTTAGCACCTATTGAAGAACTGAATGTAACATTTATTCTATAGAAGAGGGGGATTAAGCATAAAATCTTTTTTTTTTCTTTGCATATTATAAACTATTTAATCTAGAACAAAGAACCTAAATAAGCAATTGGACTAAATCAGTCATACACCATTAGTTCCTTATATTCTTCACCGGCAATGGCAAGTTCCATAGCTTCCAAGGGAGTGAAAACCCCATCTCTCTCAAAGAACAGCTTCATCAAATTCTTCGAAAATCCACTTAGCAGCACAACACCTTCTTGTGTTGCTGTTACAGGGGTAGCCTCTGATGGTCTAAGGTTCCAAAACACAATTTCAGGCACTTTCTCAAACCCTTTCTCCCTGAATTTCCTCTTTATAGCCTCATAATCAGTCTCCCACCCTTTTCTCCTGCACTTCTCAGCGCGTCTCTCTTCCCTCTCCTTCCATCCTCTTCTTCTCTTACCACAATATCTTGAGTAACTAGAGTCCGAAGAATAATCTCTTGAGTAGCTAGAATCCGAAGAATAATCTCTTGAGTAACTAGAATCCGAAGAAGAGTCATATAGTCTTTGTTCCCCTGCTGCTTCATCAAACTCCATGTCACTAAACACAAAAACGCTCTTCACCATCTGATCCTGAGTGATCTTACTATCAACAGCCACTTTTAAAATACGGTCAAAAACCTTTTGAAGGTCTGTATTCAAACCCGTCTCCATGTTTGTTATAAACTTCACCTTCGAAACAAGATCATCTCCTTCAATTATATGCAACTTCGGCTTAGCAGAAAACGTTATGACTTTCCCTTTCCATGGATCTTCACTCAACTCCGAGATTAGCAATCCAAGGGCAACACATAATTCCATGGGAGTACCCTCCATGCTACTAGAAACATCACAAACCGCGACACAATCCTTCAACTTCCCAAGTTTTATAAGATCCTCCACCATTCTCTTCCACTGAAGTTCCGCAACTGAACTACCCCCATCTCCTAAACAAGCTATAATCTCATGAGGAAGCAACGCGCCTGCTGCAATTGTTGAATCCCCCCTTTTCACATCTTCTAAATAGCTCAAAAACCTCTTAGGATCATGCTTCAAAAAGAGGTCCTTATAAGTTCTCATAGCAATAGACGGGACTCGATTGTAAGGCAATGATCTCCATTAATTAAACCCAATGTACACTTCAGGTAGTTCAAGCGCCTTATGCAGTGGTACGAGTACTTCCTTCCTAAGCCTATCTCTCACTCTATAAGCATAATGACTCTATAAGCATAATGAGCATCCTCAACACCCTCATATTCAGAGTACTCTGCCTTAGGAAACACTCTTCGTGCAATGCTTTCACAAATCAATGTTGTTTTATCATACGAAGAATCAATATTAGGGCACCACTTTGAGGCTAAACTAATCTTGTTCACATCCCCTAATTTCAAGAACTCAACATCAGATCTCAAGAACTTAGCAAAAACCTCAGCAACTTGATCATGCAAAACTCGAAAATCAGGGTCTTTCTTGTACCTAGCTAAGGCCTTCGCTGCTTCCCTCTCTTTTCTCAGCACCCTCGCCGCCTTCTCTTCCTCCTCTCCTCTCTCCAAATTCTTCCGAATCCTCTCCTCCTTCGACTCCCCTTTGTTTTCCCTCCTATAACCCTTCCTCCTCGGCTTCTTCGTCTTCCTCGCCTTCCCTGCCCCTCTTTTCTTAGACCCCCACTCCGATTTCCTCTTAGCGCGAATACCTTGTCCCTCAAGTAACCGGTAAAGAATCTCAAGCAAGTCCTTAAAACAACCAAACTCAGCAAGATTCTTCATGTTATACGCTAATGTCCTAGGATGATGCTTAAAGAGCCAAATCGCGCAACTAAAGAAACCTTCTCTATCAAACTTTCCAGTCCCTCTAATCGCTCTAAGGTTACATATAAGCTTTAATGTAGTCAAGGGATCATGATCCCAAGCCTTTTCAAGGCGGTTCGTGATCGACCGGGGGTCTGCATTGGGAACTACATGGAAGAAGAAATCTAGGCATGGGTTGCCTGTTGCCTTGTATGTAAGAGAATTTATTGGGATATATTCTAGGAAATTATTGTGTAAATATTTCCTAAAATATATCCCAATAGAATTGTTCTCTGTGAAGCCTAGTTGTGTGGTAGTCGAGGCCGAGGCGGTGGAGGAGGGTGTTTTGTTGGCCTCTGGAGGGCCAAGAAGAGGACAGTTCGAAGACATTGTTGTAATAGAAAGTGAATTGTTGTGAGAGATGTTTTTGGTTTGGTTTGTGAATGGTGAGGTTTTATAGGTTTTTGCTTGAAGACCACGTATTAGGTTTTGGGAAAGATTACAAATAATTTGTACAATGAAAATTGCAATAAATATAGCAGAGTATAGGACTGGGTCGGGCTAACATCGGGCCATATTTTGGCCAAAATGTAGGGGAAGATCAGGATATTGGGCTGGGCCCGATGGTTTTCGGACTAAGATTGGTCGTGAAAGACTATTTAAGAGGGTTGCAGTGCTAAAGTGGTGTAAAACGACTAAAGTTGCTCATAAAGTCATAAATTGTTTACGATCACAAATCGAATCAGTAGTTGTACCAATAAATAAATGAATTGAATCACAGTATTTTTGGATTGAATGATTATAATTTGTATTTAATGAATTAAAGATTCTGGTGATTCATATCAGACTCATAACGGGTAAAGTGATGATCCTTATCCTTGTAAGATCGCTTATGAATGTAAAATCAGTGTGTTTTTGTTAGTTTTGAAGCCATCGGCTAATTGATACTCGTAACTTAGATTAATCTTTTATCGGATTACTACGATTCAGGTTGGTATGAATGACAATGTGATCAATACTCGAAGAAACCAAGTACAAAGCACAATGTACATCAGTAAGTCAGTAACATATGTAATGAGGGTCATGCTAAATTGATCGAACAACTTCTTGTTTATTCCAAATAAGCATAGTGGGGATGTATGAAGTCGAGATTGCATAAGTTCTTACCACAGTCGAATCATGTTAGATGGTACGCGATCAACTTTGCACTTCTGCGTAAGGAGTCCAAGAAAATGTTCTGCTTTGGACAGCTGACTTCAGATGTGTAGACGCATGAGGAACACTTCCTAGAGATGAATAATTATCAGGTTATACAGAAGAAATTGTAATACAGTAGCTATTGTTGCAACAGTTATCAGTTTATTCATTATATCAGTATAATATATGATTTAATTCACAAAGTTGCAATATAGAAAGATACTATAGAGACAAACAGGTAAATCAATTCAAACATCAATGGTTTTATACTTTAAATCCATTTCAGCATAGACATGCAATTAGTAGAACAAAATACTAGCTCGATAACCATAAAGTAAAGAAGAATTGCTGATATAGTGCCAAGGATGTTTCTTATTCTAGATAAAAATCATGTACGAAGATCTTTAAGATGTCGTGGGTGGTTTGTGGGGCGGCATTGGGGAAAGCTTCTTTCCGGGAGGGGGAAGCTTCTTCGCAGGTAGATCCTGTTTACTGGGAGGCGATTTTGTTTCATGTCCAACAGGTGGTTTAGTAGCGCCTTTTTTAGGAGATTTGTGGGTTTCATGTTTTGGTGCCTTATCTTTATCATGAGGAACTGGAGGTTTTTTCTTCTCTGCCTTGGGTGCTTTTATTGATCTGCTGTGTTCTGCTGTTTTTTTACAGGTTTCAATTGCCCTGTGTCGTGGAGATGTTTTGCGATGATCATGCTGATGACGTTCAGCGAGGCATTGAGCAGCGACGATAACTCCCACCATAAGGAACAAAACTAGCAAGCGTACACAAAACATGATGATTATATATGCAACACTAGGAAAATTTCTGTGGGATGGTTCCGAGTAGAAAGATAAAAGGCGCTATATATACAGTTTCACATATAAGGAAAAACTATTATGATATATTGTCATATAAATGTTGTTCTGCCCAAGTTTTATTAAGTAAATTATTCACATTCTTTGCTTGTACATATTTCACACTGAACTTTTTCTTTTTTTTTTTTAATTTACACCCTGCACTTGCAAAAGAAAATCTTGGTAACTAGTACAGTATAATTCTAAAAAATAAAATGTCTGAAAGAACATTGTGTGAAAACAAAATTAAACAATAGAAAACATTGCACTTCTTCAAGATTGTGTAATATGAATTAAATAATAATAATAAAAATAATAATAATAAAATAAATAAAAATAAAAATAACAAAGCAGTTAATATAATCCAAGGAATTCATGCATATTTCCTCTGTATTCTAGGATTAATCAGCTATAAGTTTATAGTTTCGCGATAAATTTGAAGTCCTCATAAAATAAGCTCATGAAATTCACACAGTTTCAAAAGAAAGACATTAACTTTAACATCAGAAAGCATTATAAAGACAAAAACATTTGGCCATTTCTAATTATCAAGAGTTGTTGATCAAATGTGCAGTATGTCAGATTAATTTGTGTTATTTAAAATCTAGAAAGCCAGAAGCTAACTGGATTACTAAATCATTTTGGAACAAAAAAGCTGAGCATCCTTGATAGCTTAAAGCTTACAGAGAAGGCATAGAATCTACTTTCTATATAGATAAAAAAGACTACCAATTCATGTCATGTCTCTCTTACCTTATACCATCATTATCATACATTGTCCTTGGCATAAATGTCTTGGAAGAATATTTACACCGGCAAATTGATTCCCGCGCAAAGGAGCATCCGAAAAGAAAAAAAAATATATTACGACTAATTTCAGATAAAATGATTGTTTGATGAGAAAATTTGTAATCATGCAAATTATATAAAAAGACTATTATGGGACGGAGGGAGTAGTATTTAGCATTGTACTTCGTATTTAACAGTTTAATTGGTTGTGTTGACTAGTGAAACACTGAAACCCAAAGGGTTTGCCCTTCCCTGGACTATATTGTTCTAACCTGACCTCCTGTAACTCGCTCATTGCATGGTTTTGCTCTTCGTTTCCCACCTCTGACTATCAAAATCCCCCACCCCCACCCTCTTCCTTAAGAAGTACAAGAAAGAAAGAAACAGCAGAGTAAATATTCCTAAAATTATTCAATGTATAATGCAGGGAGCACAATAGATGGGGTAAAAACCACTTCACACATAAACATAAAACATTTCAACAACCAAACATAAAGGATATCATCCAATACTATAACACAAGAGTGCTTCAAAATAAACTCCAACACCACAAGTGATGGAGCATGACTGCAAGACACACATAAAAGAAGCCCACAACAAGTCTTATTTTGCAAACTGGATTTTAAGTCAGAGGCATTGATTTGATGATTTTCAAACTGCGGAGGGTGGTTCGTAGGGTGGCACTGGGTACTTCTTTTCAGGTGGATGCTTCTTCATGGGTGGCTTCTTGTCATGTTTGGCAGGTGGTTTATAATCATCTTTGGGAGGTTTATGATCATCCTTAGGAGGTTCATGATCATCCTTAGGAGGTTTATGATCATCCTTAGGAGGTTCATGATCATCCTTGGGAGGTTTATGATCATCCTTAGGAGGTTCATGATCATCCTTGGGAGGTTTATGATCATCCTTGGGTGGTTTTTCCCCAGGCGGCTTCTTGTCATCTTTGTAGTCGTCATGATGGGCAAGACAACCAGTGGTGATTAAAACAACAATCAGGAGCAAGAGCAGCAAGTATTTTCCAGACATTTTTTGTCTTATAAGGGGAAACCCTTGTGTTGGTGTGATGGTTCAAAACAGAAGAAAAATGGGTTCCATTTATACAAATTCTTAACAAACACAAAGTTTTCGTGTTGCAGGTTAAAATAAATTACTAACCAGAACACTACTATATATGTCTACCTTTTAATGAAAGGTTTGTTGGAGTTATAAAAGCTTGAACAAATTTGAACAGAGGATTTGGGGAGCAATAATAAGTGATAAATTTTGTAAACGAGATTTCAGAGTTGTACACTTATATGGCAACTTCCAATTACTTCTTATTGGTTCTGGGGCACGAAATTACATGAAATAATGCATCAACCATACAAAAAAATTAAGGGGTTTAAACTAAGATTCTAACTCTAGCACACTAGAATAGTATGTACACGCCCAAATTCTGGCCCTACAGATTGTTCACAATGATAAGTTTTCTAATTCTGCAACTTTGGTTTAATTTTCCTTGCAAAATCAAATCATAGTATCTACCACTCCAACTAAAAATAGAAAATCCTCTCAAATGACGTGATTGTTAAGAAAATGTCTTAAAGAACATGGAAAAATACAGCATATAACATGATAAAAGGAAGAGCTGTATATAACACTTATTCAACAAGATTTTGAATTTTTATTTTCAAATTTTTCACCAAACATAAATTTTAACACAATTATATCACAGGCACTACGACATTTTTTCCATCTATATTGTCCCCATTCTGCTAAATTTCAATGTGATAACTTATACCTCATCCATAATTTCTATGTTTTGATGACCTCTAGTCACTGCTATAAAGAGCGGAGTTAAACAGCAAGTGCAGAGGCATTGAGTTGAGGTACTAAAAAAGTTCCAAAGGGGAAATTATGCATACCAGGTAATGCAGAAATCGCCAGTCCTCAAAGCGGTATCTTCATTTTTCAGACAGAGAGTTTCAGTAGGAGAATCCTGAGAACCCAAACCACATCCACTTCAATGAAGCAATCCACATAAATAAAATAAAAGACAATAACATCAAAAGCAAGTCTTGAGTGGAATTTGATATTCAACAATTTCATTATAATAAAGAAGTAGATGGGACTACATCAAAAGCTGGGTGAAATTGTTATCTATTGCACAGATATCAAAATTACAAAAATTTAATTTACAAGAATCTAGATCATTATTGTACAGAAATGAACTAAAATACAAAAATATCATGATCATTATTATCAAAGGTGCAACACCAGTATCACAAATTGACATATTTGCAGATGTATCTTGGCAAAATCTTTCAAATGACTGGCTCTGTGGCTCACCAAAATAATACAGAACCTGAGTGCCTAAAATTTAAAGGTTTAAATGGAAAAAAAGTAAGGCAAAGAAGTCCACTTCGTACAACAGAGGCACCGGCTGGCCTGGACTTCCAGTACGCCATAGACCTAGTCATCTTTGTCGAATGTGAACAAATGTAGCTCACGGTTACAGTTGTGCAGCTGAAAATGACCTGCAATAAAATACATTTTGCCTCCATCACGAATTATATGATTTAAATGGTTCTAATGACCGCATGCTGCCTGATCATGAGTCAAATACACTTTTGGTGCACTATAAAAGAAGTTGTTACATGACAGAATGGAGAGAGCCCAGTGACCATTGTGTAATGGGTAATGTAATTATTAATATGGGCAACCAGAAAGATTTGTAGTATAAAACATTCAGGATTCTGTACAAGGTATCATGATGGAATTATATAATTTCTGTCATGCGAAGCTGTTCAGTAAAGGATAAACACAGAACCAGAACCTTCGAAGTGAAAAAATCATAACAATTAAAAGGAAAAGTGTAGCTATTACACCAACTGTACCAACAACATTGACGTAACATACCAAAGAATAATGAAGCACAACAAATCTATTCATCACATCATGATGGGGAAAAATCCTTCTCGGGATTAATGAGCACATAAAAGAGAATGCAAACCTTATCATTCAGACTGATTTCTCTGTCACTGACTGCTACTGCTACTGCTATTTTAAGTCCTCAGTAACTGAGTTAGGCTCTGCATCATGACACACGTCTTCTTCATTCTGTGTTATACCCTTCAATTTATTCCTTGTCCTTGAAGAAACAGGAATACCTGCGTCAGAGTCTACACTGGAATCACCCTTATTTTCTTTCGAGAACTGTGTTGCAGCCACTCGTGCACCAGCTATAACGTTATTAAGACCAGATGAAATTTCCAGTTTAGAAGCCTTGGAGGTTCCAGAGAGACAAGTAAGTGATCCAGGTTTCAGTGAGAAAGGATCTTGAGAATCTACAAGCGGAAACTTGACAGGGTATGGAGCTTCAACTGGACGCAGACCTCTTACTGCTGCCTCGTATATCTATAGCCAAAAACGAGAAGTTAACAACTTTCTCAGTAGCAGAGACAACTAAGTAATGAACATTAAAGCAACATTGTATTCCTGCTAAGAGACGAAAAGAGCCAAGGTCTTACAGTTCGGGCATACCTTCCTCTCCAAATTGTAAACATCCTGTTGCCCTCGCATTTCGAATGGGATAATCAGTTTCTGTATTAGTTTAAGTACATGTGTTAGCTATTAATCACACAATTAGCAATTCATATCTGGATAAAAAGAGTAAAGAATGGATGCATACCTGTGGCTGCTCGCATAACCAGCAATAATCTGTTTGTCCCTCCAATCTGACCTGTCAAACAAAGGAAGATCCCATAATAATTCTTCGTTTCTTACAAGAATAACTTCAAAGATTGTTATGAGGCACAATCACAATACTTCATTTGGAGTCAAAGGGATGGGATAAAAAATAAAAGAAAACATATATGCTCTACCCCTTCTGGCAATTCCTCCCAGTTTTGCAGCTCTTCACATGTTATACATCCAACCACCTCCACACAACCTGCGTTCAAAAGGAAGTTCAGTAAGAAACCTTGGAGAAAAGAGAAATGATGTTCATGTGCAGTCGACCTTGGCATATACTGAATAACTGGCACAAAAGGAGAGGTGCACGTGTTCCCGAAAGATTATCTAGATCCTAAGGACAAAAGTTAGCGAGGTATCAACTCTATGCAGCCACTTCTCAAGAGATCATACTATCCAATTGCATGGGATTCGCTTCCGAAGACACAATAAAAGCCTGATGCTCCACAGAGCTTATTCTCATTTCCATTAAGAAATAGCAAAGGAATAACTTAACTACAGTATTGTCTATAGAAAATTTGAATAAAAGCAAGTAACACAATACTGGGTGCAAAGGAATGCTCTACTAAATAGCCATTTTTTAAGTAAAAATGTTCTATATTATATATAAAAGATGTAGCAGACCGTCCTGTTCTAAATTAAAAGAAATAATAACATGGCCTCTTAGCAATTGCAGTGCAGACAGTTTTGTTAGCAGGTTGTCATAATTTGGTGAAAAAGCGTTGTCCCCAATGGAGGCAACTTACCATCCTCAACTCTTTATCTTAAATCTAACAAGAAGCCTATTTTCCTGCCATTTTATAAGATGAACCAGATTTCACGTGTGCTCAAGTTGTTTCCAGACCAAATAATCATAATTTGAAATCAGATTTTGGGCCACAAGAAATAATTGTCTATAAACACATACAAATGCTCACAGACTGAATATGCAGAACAATTCTATAAGAGAAAATGTTGATCAAGAGTGACAACCTATCAGCCGTGAAGTTGGATAATTATCTGGAAACTTGAGGTCTTTTATTCCATTCACTGCATAGATTTCTTTGTAGAAGTCCTCCATTGCTTTAATAGTTTCAGGTTCAGGGACCTTACTAGCAGCATGTATCCAAAGTCGACCTTCACAGACCAGATCACTTAACAACATAAAAAAAAGCATCCATCACAAGAAACTACTTCATAGACGATACATTCTGTAATCTCCATTTTCGATGTTTGAAGAAGACAGATACCAAACAACTGACATACCTTCAATAATGTACAGAGTATTTTTGTTTTCATTTCCAACCAAACAGATTCCACAAAAGATTAATTAATGAATTATGTTTTCACATGTAAATGCACACAATCAAGCTAGTTAGCAAGAGCATAAGAAATATATAGGTTAATGGATAAACAAGCAGTTTGCAAGGTTCAGAGTTTAGACACTCCAATATACGCGAAAAGAACAAAAAAAATATGTTAGCTAACATTGTACTGGACTACCAGTCTACCATAAAGCATAGCATATAGCATATCAACCATCTCCACCACCACCACAAATATTAAGGTACCGTGACAACCACCCTAACTTTTCGGCATTTGACAATATGTGAAAATCATCTCCTTCCTCCCTACACCCTCCACACACGCACACGCGCACACACACACACACGCACACGCAGTCAGTTGAAGTCCTTCAAATAATCCCACACAGTCAGTTGAAGTCCTTCAAATAATCAACAACCTTAAAAGTTGAAACTAAGTTCCAATTATCAGGCACCACCACAAACACATACCAACATAATTATCAAAGATAACACCAGTACGACAACCACCCTAATTACTTGAAATTTAATTAACTCAATTCTCAAAGTTCCACTTTTTTCTCAGAGTGGATCCCCAATTAAAGCTTCTACAAGCAAAATTATTCAATATAATTCAAACATATTCGATTTAAACATCCACAAAATTACCCAATTACTCAAAATACCAATAATACAAGTAAACATTAATCAAGAACAACACTTTCAAATTTCATCATAATATTCAAAAACTACCCACAAGTCTTCAAATTAAAAGCTTCCCATCAAAAATTTTACCTTGCTAGAAAAATTACAACTAAATGACAAAGAGGAGAGAGAAAAAGGAGTACCTCGAATAGGGGAAGGCCATGATCGACCCTCAACTCGTTTAATGCCAAAAACGAGGAGAGAAGCCCAAGGTTGGTGCATTGTTAGACATGGGTTTGTGTAATTTCCTCCATTGTTTCTTCTCATCTTTCCAATAAGTTTATTTTTTCAAGTCAATTTCTCTAATCTTCAAAAATTCAACACTTTTAGACTTGTACCTGGAACAGAATCAGTTCTCTAGCGATTTGCCTGACCAACAATTGATGAGCTTTCTGGGTTTGTTCAAGGAATTGGTTTTGGGGACATTCTAATTTCTAAGCACATTAAACTTAGGAAAATTTGCAAATTCAGCAAATTTAAAATTAAATTTTTCAAATTACAATCATTGAAAAAAATTATAAATTGCAGTCTAAAAGTTATAAAAAATTGTTAATTGCAACTTCATTTAATTTTTTCATCGGTTTACGAGTCGAAAAATGTTAGGTTAAGGTTTCAACGACCATTTTAATAATTAATGATTTAAATTGAGTTCGGAATTGGCAAAAAATTAACATAACTGCCTCGTTTTTACAGCAAAAATATTGTAGTCCACAAATCGATATATTTTTGTTACACATAACGAGGCACTTATATTATTTTTTTTTTGCTAATTTCGAACTCAATTTGGAGTATTAAAGGCTAAAATGGCCCCTAAAACCTAAACTGAAACACGCAAATTGACGAAAAAGTTGAATTGGATTGTAATTTACAATTTATAAGAACTTTTGGGCTGCAATTTGCAATTTTTTTTTTAAATGGCTGCAATTAATAAAATTTAAATGGCTGCAATTGGCAAAAATTCTTAAACTTAAGTTCATTTTGCTATTTTAGAAATGAATTAGATCAATTCACATATTTCGGAACCCATGTTGAAAAATAGATGTGGTTTGTGAATTGAAACCATTTACAAGTATTACAACCAGAAGTCGGTCACATAAAGACCTATGATGATGTTGGGTCAATGAAAGGAGGCGTAACCGCGTAAGTTACAAACGACTGATTAATACTCCGTAGTTTAAAAGCATATAGTGGACAATTCCACCCACCTATCTGCCCTCTAGGGGGTGTTGTAGGGTGTATAGGAAGCACCTTTGACTTGTTTTTATTTTGAGTTCGAAAAAGTCAATATTTGGCTAAAAGTGATGAATATTTGATCCATGCTTTAAGATCAATTTCGGAGATTTTAGGATCTGGTGTCGAAAACTCTCATGATGGTAGGTCATACATCCCAAGGTCATATAATGTTGATTGAAAGTCATGTATAACCAGCAGTTGGTCACATAAAGACCCATGGATGTGGTGGTTTTAAGTTATTATTAAAGGGAGACATGCACATAAATGGCTTATTGATAGTTTAAAGACGAAGTGGATGGTTCTAACCATCCAAATGGGCTCTCGAGTTGTTGTGGGATTTATGGAAAGAGCCCTAACTTCTCTTTTTTGCATGTCCGAAAAAGTAAAAATGTGTCTATAATAATTGAAGGCTACATTACAAAAAATTTGATTAATTTTGGAGGTTTTAGAATACAATGTAAAAAACTCCCAAGATTGTCGAGGATGTATTTCATGGTCATGTAATATTGTTAATTTGTAATCATATATGACCACTAGCCCGTCATATACACTCTTCGTGGACTTTTTTTTTTTTTTTTTTTTTTTTTTTGGGAAAAAAAAACTATGATTTTTTCATAATGATTAGAATCTAACCATACTTTATTTGATTGTTTTTTCTAAAACACTACCAAACCAAATAGGTAGAAGCGTATAATTTTTTTTATTAATTAAATCAGATTTAAGGGAATAAAGCCTAAAGTATGACGACTTGCAATTGAACTTGAGATGCATTTTAGGCAAATAAAGTGTTAAATCATAAGGAATCAGAATAATCGAATGTAAAACCAATTATCACTTTTCCTTTAAATAAATTGTTAAATGTCATAAAATATGTAATTGTTTTTGAATGCATAATCATGATGATCAAGTGCATATTTCTCATTATATCTTAAAGAAATGTATTGTCCTTCCTTGGCTTGTTTAAGATTTTTTACATGCATGTAATACAAAATAACGTCAAGGTTGATAGTGGGATGATTTTGATTGGCATGAACAACTTAACAGGTTGTAACCGTTTAAAAAAAAAAAAAAACAAACTAAATAGGTTGTAAAAAAAAAGTAATTCAACTTGAGAATGATTAAACCAAACTCGAATTAGATCATACAAATTAGTTCATATAAACTATTGTTTTGACTAAAAAAGAATTCATGATGAATAATTGGAGCAACTTTGTCTAATTAGTTTTTATGAACACTTGTTGAATTAAGTGATTTTCTTTGATTAAATAATTAATATAAAAATAAAGAATATCTCATATTTTGAAAAACTTTCCTTTTAACCATCTTCAACTATTTTACCATATGAACACTTTTTTTTTTTTTTTTTTTAACTAACTCATATTCTATTAATAAAACCCATAGAACTTGTTTCCTTAACTCCCATAAGACCATAATTGAATTACGCTTACAAGTTACGAGTAGTCAAATAACGTACATTATTAAAAAAATAAAAAATAAAAAATAAAAAACCATTATAATATTCCGTTTTGAGTAAGACACAACGACGCGGTGTATCAATGGACAAAAGGGAGGGAGGGGAGGCCATAACTAGGGTAACCATACACAAAGACATGGTAGTCTTGCCGCCATCAACTTACCAAATAGAGAGAACAAAACTAGTAGAAAAAAAAAGTAAACAAGTCAACTCATTCATTCATTCTTCATTCATTCCCACTTGCCACTTTGCTAGTAGCTGAAGCCTCCCCCAATTCACTCTTTCCCCTTCTTCTTTTTTCCACTCTCTCTCTCTCTTCCACATTTTTTCCCACTCACAATTTCCAATCTAAAAATCAAAAAATCCCCAGAATCTCTACTTTACCTGTATTTCCCAAACTCTGTTTCTTCTAAAGCTAAATTAAAATTCCTTTTCATCTTTTTTGCTTTTTTCTCACCATTCTTTTCTTTCTTTTTTTTTTTTTTTTTTTTTTTTGTGATGTTCTTTGCTACTCTTCTTTCAATTCATTCTCCATCTCTAATTTATTTTCTCTCTCTTTCTGTTTTCCCACCTATTTGATTTTATGGACTCTGCTGTTCTTGATAGCATTATTACCAGATTGCTTGATGTTAAGGGTAAACCTGGTAAACAGGTTCAGATTTCTGAGTCTGAGATCCGTCAACTTTGCTTATTTTCTAGGGAAATCTTTTTGAAACAGCCTAATCTTTTGGAAATTGAAGCTCCTGTTAAGATTTGTGGTAATTCTTCTTATTCCTTTTGTAGTTTATTCAATGTTAAGTTATGTTTGATTGTTATTTTTACTGGGTTTTTGGTGATTTGAAGTGGGTTTTTGTTGAATTTTATTGTTGAGTTGCAAATTTGTCATCTTGGAATGTTTTGTATATATAGGCTGTGTTACACGGCTACTCGGATCGTGTCGGTCACGGGTGTACGTCCAATTGTCCCTCGGCTATTTTTGTGAAATAATTTGTATGATTTTGGCCCACAAGTAGTGTCGAGGATTGGACATAGGTTGTTGAGGTGTAATAAAGAGTCCGAGTAACATAGTTTATAGAAAATGCACTAAAAACCCTGAAATAAGATAGTATTTGTATGGGCTTTGCATACAGTGATTACAAATTGACTGGTGTAATAAGGTCAAACTATAGAGAGACCTAGTATAGTGGTCCTTGTTTAGTTGATGTCTTCATATTCAAATGATTACTTAAGAGAAAGTTGGCTGCTGCTACAGGTGGAATGAGGTGGTTGTATTTGGTGAAATATAAATTCTAGTGTTTGGACCAACCATGTCAAATGCTAGTTCATTTGATGATTTGACCATGTAGTCTGAATTTATCATGTCATTACAACATTTGATGAATTTGACAATGAAGTCCGAGATTTTCAAGTTACTTTGTTGCTTTAATCAAATTTGTAATATGCTTGGTGCTGCTTATGCACTCTCAAGTCTCAACCAAAATTCAGCTTTGTAAAATGCAACTACCATCTTTTAGGTGCAGTAATTGATTAATAAAACTGTTCAATACTTTAGCGAGATATTTTGTTTGAGAAAATGGCTAGTAAATTGGATTTGAGAGTGTTAGATACTAGTATTGTTTATTACTGGTTTAGCTATTCCGGCCGTCATGCATTAAGCATGATTTTGTGTCATCCTCGAATGATTTTCTTTACTTGTGAGCTAAAGTGGGTTTGTCATGGTTAGCATTTCCCTCTGATATAGGTAATATGTGTTACATAGCCCAAAGCAAAGTAACTTTGTAGTTCTCTTGATTATTAATAGATATCTATGCTCATGTACCTGTACTTTAATGACTAATAGACTGGTTTAGTATGCCAAGTTTTTAATATGGTTTTGTAAGACATGTAACAAAGATAGGCTCATCTTTTTTATGGAAGGCTGTAATGAAAATTTTCGCTCTTGTAATCTCCTTGTTTATTTTTGGACTTTGGAGGCTGCATCTAAGTGGGACAAAATTAAATATTTTCTAAAACTAGTTTTAATAGTGCTCACGGAAGTGCATATGGTGTGTTTGTAGACGAAGAATAAGGTCCATAGTAGTATTATAAGTCTGATTTTAATAGCTTAGTAACCAATTATGCAAAATTTTCATTACTTGCAACTTATGTGCCTGGTTGCTATCTTTACATGTAGACCATAACACTTGAACAACGACTGTCTAGAGGGAATTAAGTGATTTTCATTGGGATTTTAACATTTCCTTGGTCCTTGTTAAACATAGTATCAAATCACTGGTTTTATAAACATGCCATTGCCAGGTTTTATCCCCTGAAATATGTCCTGATGGTAAGTAGAAATATGAATTGTGCCGAAGTTCAGAGAATGAGTGAAGTTTTTTGTTACTAATGCCTATGGGTCATTGATATGACTGCAGATTGGAGAAGTATTTTATTTTTTTATTTTTAACGTAGTAGAATGGCTTTGAAATGGGAAAACTTCATAATGTGAATGATTTCTGATACTATCTGCTGCAATTCCAAATATTTTTCTGATGGACCCTGTTTGCTCAGAAGGATGGATGAGTAGTTTCCTTTTGCTTCCTTGGAGGAAGTCTACTAGACCATCCAGAAAAGGAAAACAAACCAGGCAAATTAGCTATTACTGCAACACTATGACCTACTCACCAACTTGCTATTTTATTGGACAATTTAGTCTTGATTTTTGTCCCACAGCTTTGAGTAATAGACTAATAGCTTCCATTCCATCTGTCATTCTCTTGCCTAGGATAGGTTCTTACAAGTTACAAATTTCTTCTACGTTCCTGTGTGTAGGTTCTTACACAGTCTGGCCCTCTGACCTGCAAGGTTTCCTTCCATCTTATTTCTAGGTATGGCCCAACTCCCAAGTGGTTCAAGTGCATTCTATCTCCGACATATTTTTGATGTATTCTTTCTGGAAATCTTAATGCCTTGGTTGCCAGCAAGGTTACAACCTCAAAAATTAATTTGACAAAGTGGTGGTAGATGGATTTCACATAAAATCCCAACTTGTACATAAATTTAGCAGTGAACTCTATAAGCTGTGAAATCTGTTGGTCTGCTATTTTAATAGCAACTTTAGTTTGCTCATGACTTGCCTGCCTAGCGTGAAGTCATTAATCAAAGTAAAATTTCACCTTTCCGAGTTGCAAAACTTTTTTCTACTATTGATTTGATGTGCTGTACCATCATTCTTACTGAGACTTGTGGTATCTGAGGCAGATGAATTTTGATATTTGACAACAAGGGACTGTTAGGTGCACTCAGTGTCTCCCTTGGAAGCTATACAATGCTAGACATGCATTACATACTGGGTGGCCATAGCTTTGATATTGTATATGAAACTGACAAGGGGAACTAACTAGTTGTCATTGGTGAGATGCAAATACTAAAGTGGAGATTTAGACATAAGTCCAAGAAATGAAACTTTAATTGTAACATAATACTTGTGCAATATGTTATTTATCTTTTGGACTTTGAACCTATGGTAGACCAATAGAAGTTTGATAAGTTAATGATTGAGGTTCTGAGAAGGGAAGTAACTAGTAAATCTTCTTGGTATTCTATTGTCAAGTTAATTTTTAATGAGGGATAGGGTTGATGTGCCTGAGTGCTATTTTCCAGAATATAGATTATCTTTTTGGCTAATTCATTATTGTGATTGGGTATTTTTCATCTTAGAGTCACTAATTGTGCTTGGAAATCAAGGTTATCTATTTCACACCAGCATGGACTGTTATTTATTCTGATATGTGATATGTATTCCCATGGTTTTAATAATTGATTCAAATCATTCGATGCATTTTCTGGTACATATTATCTCTTAATGTTAAACTGATATTTTCTGAGTCATAAAGGACTATTACTTATCAATATTGATACAGAGCAAAACAAACTGGTATGAGTATATGACCAATGTAAATATCCTGCCGTGTCAATCACAACCTTTTCTGTCAAACTGCAATGTAGTAACTATGTGTTTATGTCATCTCTTATTTCCTAAAGTATGATGCATGCTTCATGAAGTTGTATGCTGGGTTGGATGATAATAGGGCCTCTATGATTTTGCTAAAATATCCCCAAGCTATGTTTTTGCTAACTATTATTAGAAACAAGATACTTCTTATTAAGCTTCTATCAATTTTGAAAGCAATTTCCTAATGTTACATCTTTCATGTGTGCAGGAGACATTCATGGGCAGTATTCTGATCTCCTGAGGCTGTTTGAATATGGTGGATTACCTCCAAAATCCAATTACTTGTTCCTGGGTGATTATGTTGATCGCGGGAAGCAGAGTTTGGAAACAATATGTCTTCTCCTTGCTTATAAGATAAAATATCCTGAGAATTTTTTTCTTTTGAGGGGCAACCATGAATGTGCCTCTGTAAATCGTATATATGGATTTTATGATGAGTGTAAACGAAGGTTTAATGTCAGACTCTGGAAAGTCTTTACAGATGCCTTTAACTGCCTACCCGTGGCAGCTCTTATTGATGAAAGGATATTGTGCATGCATGGGGGGATTTCCCCTGACTTGCATAATTTGGACCAAATACGTAATCTACTCCGTCCAACTGATGTTCCAGAAAGTGGTTTGTTGTGTGATCTCCTTTGGTCTGACCCTTGTAATGATATCCAGGGCTGGGGAATGAATGATAGAGGGGTCTCCTATACTTTCGGTCCTGATAAAGTAACTGAGACTCTTAAAAAGCTGGACCTTGATCTAATCTGTCGTGCACACCAGGTTAATATATTCTTAACACATCATATGCCTTTAAAACATGTACATCAAATTTAATTGCTCATAATATTCATATATCTAATGTGCAGGTTGTTGAGGATGGATACGAGTTCTTTGCTAATAGGCAACTTGTTACTATATTTTCAGCACCTAATTACTGTGGTGAGTTTGACAATGCTGGAGCGATGATGAGTGTAGACGAAACTTTAATGTGTTCTTTCCAAATACTAAAGCCTGCAGAAAAGAGGCCAAAATTTGGCTTTGGCGGCAGCACTACCACTGTCAAGACAGGGACTCCTGCTAAGGTGAAGGTATGCTTTTACTTCTTTTTTCAAAAAACTGCAACACTATGATTTTCACATTTGTCAATTTTGCACAGTAATGACTTTATTATGTATTGGTTCAAGTTACAAAAAAATTGATGAAAATATATAGTAAAGCTAACTAACAACTTTTTACATAGTACTTTATAACATTAGCTTTCAATAAATTAGCAAAAATGTGTTCAAATCAAGTATCTGAATAGTGCAAAGTCATGTGTTGCAATTATTTAGTATTGAAGCAAGTATTTCTTGTTAAAAATGCATGCTATCACGGGGCTGCAGTGTTACATAACCATTGTCCATCTTCACTTCGGCCTTTTTTTGGCACTTGACTAATGGCTAGTTATTAATTGCTTTTGCCTTTAGTTAGTTTGATGTGATCTTACAACCAAAATTTATGTTGGGTATGTGACTTATCATTTGGCTGAAAAACATGCTCAAGCTTTTTAACTTGTATTTCCTCATATTAATTCACTGAGCCAAATAAAGGCATATATCGACTTTGGTAAACTTCTATAAATAGGGGCAAGACAACTAGTAAAAACTGCGACTATTAGTTGGTTAACAAGTCAAGTGAAGCAGCCAAATAACAACATAAACACAACTCCTGTTTTTCTACTGGTACTCCATTTTTTTTTATATACATTACTACTGCAAAATCCTCAAGTCAAAAACTAAAGGATGCTATCTCTTTCCAATCTTTAATGCTTAGCTCCATACTAAATTATACTTCATGTTTCTATGCGCATCATGTTAAAGGTGTCTTTGGTAAATGAACGAGTGTACATGAATTATTCTATTTGCATGCTGTACATATTGCTTTGCACATTATGTTAAAGGTATCTTTGGTGATGACTGATGACCGTTCTCGGATTATTCTATTAGCAGTCTTTCTTTGGAGGAAGAGTATAAAAGAAATGAGCATCTTTGACGAAGTCACTTATAGAAAGTTTCCATTCATGGGAAGAGCATAAAATAATCAACGCGTTTACTGACAATTATAGAAGTTCAGCAACAGGCCCCTCGACGCCTTACCATGTCTAAGTATAACTGAGCGCCTGCAACGAGTCAGCTGTTTGAAGACAGTGACCCTCATATCATTTGCTAATACATTATCCAGTTTACCGCCAAATGCGATGTCGTGATAGAGTTATGTATTAATAGTTGAACAGTACAATACATAATGGAGCTGTCAACTGGACTAAGCATATACTAATTAGGCAATTACCAAGTAATCATTGTTTATCATGTATTATAGATGTTAATGTCTTGTCATTTTTGATAATTTGACGAAATGTTTATAAAGTGTATGCCTAATTATGTTGTTGGTGATCGTGTAGAGCACCAAAATGTGATATGAGACTGAGTTTGAAGTTGGTCTTGATGATTTGTTTGGTGGGAGTTTCCAGCTGTTTGTGTGTGGGTCTTTATCATGGAAGTTCAACTCTAGCTAAGTTATTTTTTTTTTTTTTTTTTTTTTTGATAAGAGCTAAATTAATTATTTTGATAATGTGTTTAAGTAAGTAAGATGATAGATCAACTACATATGATGGACAACCACTATGTAGTTTAGTGTGTTGATTATAAAATTTGATTAGTTAAATTATTTGGTGGTTGATGACGTGCTATTAAATTTTGGATTTTTTTTTTTTTTTTAAAAACAAAATTTATACTCCATAGAAGATTTGATTTTATTGTTATCGGATGGGGGTGTTAACAAGTTAAGTTGAGAACTTGAGATCGATCGTGCCTTTCTTTGCTTTTATTGTTATCGGAAAGGGTGTTAACAAGTTCATGAGTTGAGATCAATCGTGCCTTTCTTTGCTCGGCTTGAAGCTCATTGAGCTAGAGAAATCGAGCTTGACTAGGGCTTAGCTCAGGGCCCGATCAACAAATGTTCCATCTAGTGTCAAACTTGTTTTTATCAAATTATTTTAATGATGACTAAATCCCTTAAATAAAGTGTAAATATATCTAATCCTTAAGGCTCAAATGTTAAGAGATAGGAGTAATTTTTGGTTACAAATGATTTTATACCCAAAAAAAAAAAGAAAAGATCGAGCTTTTGAGTCGATAATAATCTTGTTGAAATTTTGAGTTGAACACGAGTCGAGCTTCGACCTAGTTATACTAAAATTTCTAAAATTACTTGGACCTAGTTAAGTACATTATTGAAAAGTTATCTAGAATCACTTTTCAATTATTATATCTAAAATTTGAGGCAAATTTACTCAATTGTAAAAAAATAATTCAACTTCGTATTTTAGATCGAATCTAAACTACCAATTTTTTATTCATATTCATTTTGGTGGGAAATTAAATTGTACAGGTTACTATTTCAAAACCGAATTTATTTCTTGATTTAATTTGATTAAATGACTCAAACCCAAATCGATAATTGGATATAAATACGAGGAAGCCCCAATTAATCAATTTGATAAATAAAATTTGTTTATCAAATGACAAAATGGTAAATAAAACAACATAAATGCCCAGTCATCATGACATTTTCGTAAATATATCAACAATAGTGGGTTCCAAATTTACTAAAAAGTTGTTGATTTATTTACAATTTTGCCATTTGATAAACAAATTTTGTTTATCATATTGATAAACTTGGATTTTCTTTACCTACTTTTTCTCTATTTGTATATTTCTACAATTCTACATCGACTACATGGACTACATCATACATTCACTACAAGTTACGTGGAAGATGACAATTTAGGGGTTATGATGTAGTCCCCTACACTTGTAATTAAAATCCGCAAGTAGTTTTTTTGCGTACTGATCTGACTAAAAGAAAGCATCAATTGAATTACCAAAATTTGATCTATTGGTATGCTAATCAACCCATTGACATTTTATTATCTTAATTTAACTTTTGAGCTGATAGTGTACATGTAACCAATAGAAACAAAGCATTAGCAAAGGGAGCAAATTGTAAGCTAGTCAACCCGTTGACATTCTTTTTTTAATTCTATTTTGTAATTGCTAATTTAGACATCTAATAATAAAAAAGTAAATCCAACGATAGAAACAAAACCATCTTTTGGAAGCTAAGCAAACTTTGTGCTAGTAAACCCGTTGACATTATTCCCCTACTTTGTACATTATTTTTTTGTGTGTTTGAGGAAATAATCTACATGCATAGTTCCACGTCAGCGCATTGACTTTCTTTTTATTTACATTTTAATATTTTAGATATTTTCTTCCAATGGATTATGCATCTAGATTCGTAGAACATAATAACATATACCGCCTCTATATTAACAATTATTACTTGAACACCCCGTCCGGGCCCTAAAATACTCATTTTTTACATTAGGAATGAATTTGTAAGGAGGGGACTTTTTAATATTTATTTTTTTCTTACCTTTTAAAAAAAAAGTTATTATTTGAACACAGTACATGTTAAGGTCATTTTTTAAAAAGAGTATTGATGTGGATAAATTAAAGGAAGTCAAACTAGTGGAGTATATAGGAAGTATGTAGTAAAAAACAAGTTAAGTTTTTCCATTTACCCAAAAAAAAAAAAACCGCTAAGTTCAACAAAAAATAATGTTTAGTAAAAATTGCTCCTAGTTAGGGCTGTCAAAAGGTGACACGACACGAAAACCCGACACGAACCCGATACGAAATAAGCGGGTTTGGGTCAAGTATTCTCGGCCCGTTTACATAATTGGGTCGACACGAAATTAAACGGGTTAGGTTTGGGTTGAAATTTTCTACCCGAAACCGACACGCGTAACCCAATTATATAAATGGGTTGAACGACAACCCGCTAACCCGAACCCGACACGCTTAACCTATTAATAAAGTAGTAACAAAAACCGAAAATTTTGTTCTAAACTTGTAATTTTGTAAATTGCCTTGGCACCATGTATACATTTAGGTAATTTTTGGCAGTTAATTTGGCGGATAAAATAAATTTCAACTTTTGTAAATTAAAATTTGGCTGTTAATTTGGGACAATTCTTATGTATGGTTGTGCTGCTAAAGCAACCAACTTTAAATTCTTGTAGTACTTTTGCTATAATTACTAATTTTAACTTCTTATAGTATATTAATGAATTAATGATGTATGTCTTTTTAATTTTTATATTGAATATTATAGTTTATTACATACTATATGGGTAAAAGGTTACACGGGTAACCCGTTTAATAAGCGGGTTAGGTTTGGGTCAAGGGTTTTCAACCCGTTTAATAAATGGGTTAGGTTTGGGTCAAGGGTTTTTCAACCCGTTTAACATCGACACGAACACAAACCCGACACGATACGACCCGTTTGACAGCCCTACTCCTAGTTTTTATCAGTAAAAATAAAATTTTTAAGATGTTATGTAAAAATATTTTAATTTTAGGTCTTGTTCTCTTCACCTTTCAAAAATAATACTACCTCCGTTTTTTATTATTTAATATGTTTTGATTTTAGCACTATTCACATTCTTCACTTTGACCGTGTTTCGTAATTTACTTCGTACATGTAATGAAAAATATAGTGATGTGGGATTGTTAGAATCGTCACGATATATATTTTTTAAATATCAACTTTTCATAATCTTTGCTTATCGAAAATTAAAAATATTATGGTTGAATTTGTGCATTGACACACGTGACAAAAGAAACGTGTCAACTAAAAAGAAACGGAGGAAGTACTTAGTAAAAATAAGTTCAATTCAGTAAAAAAAAAAAAGTTCTTTGTTAAAATAAGTTCAATTTAGTAAAAAAATTATTTTTAATCAATTAAAAAATCGGTTCAAATCATTTTTTTTTTTTTTTTGTAATTTGTGAAAATTAGTAACTTTAAAATACAAATAAATAGAGAGACAATAAAAATATGTTTTAATCAGTTAAAATTAATAGAATGATCTTTTTGAATATTTCATTTGATAAATGGGCTTTGTTGTAGAGTGAGTAATACATAATGTAAAAGTGTAAAACAATAAAAAGTCAATTATTCTTAAATTTCATCCAGTTTTTTATTGGCATGAGTCACGTATGCAAATGCAAAACTTCAATAATCAATATATTTAATTTTAAATCATCATCAAAATTCTAAAAAAAATAAATATTGATAAAGTATAAATTAATATGAAATGTACAAGATCTCACTTCATCGTATTTTTCACAAGCACAACTTATATAAAAATAGTCAATGTAAAACAAGTGAATGATAAAGTCAAAATGTGTCAATTAAAAAAACAGAGATAATAAACAACCTTTAAACACGAAGTACGTATATATTTTAAGATTAGAGATCTTTATTGGGAGAAATAATTCCCAAATTCAAATTATATCCGTTCGTATTATAAAGAATAATATAAATGCTTTAAGGTTATTATGTCGAATTATTGATCTTTAAGGTTTAATATAAGTTCTTATAGTATTAACGCTAAATTTCTTTTAATATAATTCCTTATAGTATTAACTAACCAAAGACATTCATGCCAATTCCAATATTCTAACTGTACGGCTGGTCCGTATGTATAACCGTATTCGTCCTTAAAAGAAACATAGGTGAGCCGTACGGTGTATGCGTAGTTGAAAAGGAACCAAACATTATACGGTCCTTTCCTTAAAATTTAATTAACTAATATTTCTTTTAATAATAATAGACTTTGGTTGATATTGTGCCAATTTGATTTGGTTGGAATATGTATTTAAGTCTTGGTCCTGTTATTTTTTCGATGATTTTTCAATGGTTTAGACGTTTAGCCAGTTGATGCTCCAAGTAAAATTCTACGGAGTATTTGCAAAATGTTATCATTAATTTGTGTCCGTACTAATGAACGAGGAAGCTTATTTTTAGTAATTGCATTGAATTTCCTTCGTGTCTTATTAATTGTTTTGTTTTCGAAATGTGCACGTAAACTCTTTACTATAACTTGTAATAACATTAATTCTCTATAAATAAAATTATAAAAAAAAAATTATTTTAAAAAAAATATATATACATTAAGATTTAAGACAAATCGAATACGATGTCAGGTATCAACTATTTTTCAGTACAGATCAACAAACATAATAGTTAATTTCTCTAATTATCAACGAGTAAAGAGTTTTTGAAAATATATATTGATCGAGACGATTCTATCAATATATATTGATTTTTTTATATTTTATAATATTTATAAATTAAGATAGATAACTAAAGTATAAATAGTATCAATTTTATTTTAAAAAAAATAGTATCAATTGTATAATTGCATATGCATAATTTAATTTCATGTAATTGTATGATTGTGTACTTGATTCCTTCAAACAATAGACAGTTGTGTTTCAAATGTCATGAAGGAGACATTAATCTTAAAATTTTGTAAAAACATGGCATTGCATGTAATTATTAAGATCCATTTATTTTTATACATATTGTAAGAGTATATTCTTAAAAGATTACGGAGAGGATTCCAATCCGGAAGAATGTGTAAACATGATTTCCATATAAATACTCGTCTTTGTTCCCTCCATTTTCCTTCACAAAAACAAATATTCTCTTCTACTTGAGCTTCTTCCTTCATAACGCACTGGTTGGTGAATTTAACTCTAGCTCTTTTATATTTTTGTCCAATTTAATACATACCATACATTTCTTCCGTATTGAATGTTATAATATATAGTTTAGGGTTTGTATTAGTCGATTGTTGGAATTGAACAATAGTAGTTAGATATAGGTAGTCGATATATAATGATTTATGGCTTAACTTGCATAATGCATATGTTTAGACTCTTACATGCCTAAAGTGTAGCATGTGTACTGTATGACCAGTAAAGTTTAATATAAATACAATATTCTAAAATAATATTATACTTTATTCTTTCAAAAAAAAAAAATGTTCTTTAATTAAAATATTGAAATAATATAGTACATTCATTGCAAAATTTCTAAATTAATATATCCTTTTCGATGTTTCAAGCTTTAATAATTTTATTACAAAAATTAAGTATTCATTCAGGTTTTTAATACACAAATATGATTGTTTTACCTTGCAGGGCGTAGATGAAGGTAGAAAGATAAAATAAGAAAAGAAAAATTGAAAAAAAGAAGAAAAGAAGAAAAGAAAAAGAGAGCATATCATGGCGAAGGGACAACAATTAGAAGTGCTAAATGCACTTGACGTTGCAAAGACGCAATGGTACCACTTCACAGCAATTGTGATTGCTGGTATGGGATTCTTTACAGATGCATATGACCTGTTTTGCATCTCTTTGTTGACCAAGCTTCTTGGTCGTATTTACTATGACACTCCGGGATCTGGTAAGCCAGGAGCATTGCCTATCAATGTCTCTGCTGCTGTTAGTGGAGTTGCTCTTTGTGGTACCCTAGCTGGCCAACTCTTCTTCGGTTGGCTCGGAGACAAGATGGGGAGGAAGAAGGTGTATGGTATCACCTTGGTTATGATGGTTGCAATGTCTATTGCCTCTGGTCTCTCCTTTGGGAGCTCTGCCAAGGGTGTTATGACAACACTTTGCTTCTTTCGCTTCTGGCTTGGATTTGGTGTTGGAGGAGATTACCCTCTATCTGCAACAATCATGTCTGAGTATGCTAACAAGAAGACTCGTGGAAGTTTCATCGCTGCTGTCTTTGCTATGCAAGGCATGGGTATCTTGGCCGGTGGTATTGTCTCTCTAATTGTTTCATCCGCATTTGAGGCCAAATTCAAGCCTCCCCCATTCAAAGTCAACGCTATTGCCTCCCTCCCACCAGAGAGCGACTACATTTGGCGTATTGTCTTGATGTTCGGGGCCATACCTGCTGCCACAACATACTATTGGCGTATGCAGATGCCTGAGACTGCCAGGTACACCGCTCTTGTGGCTAAGGATGCTAAGCAAGCAGCTTCAGACATGTCCAAAGTCCTAAAGGTTCAGATTGATGCAGAGGAGGAAAAGGTTGACAAAATAGCAAAGAGTGAGAGGAACCAATTTGGGTTGTTCACTAAAGAATTTGCTAGACAATACGGTGTTCGCCTTCTAGGAACCACCAGTACATGGTTCTTACTCGACATTGCATTTTACAGTCAAAACCTTTTCCAAAAAGATCTTTTTAGCTCCATCGGTTGGATCCCACCAGCAGCAGATATGAATGCAATCAGGGAGGTGTATATGGTAGCAAGAGCTCAAACATTGATCGCCCTATGTGGAACCGTCCCCGGCTATTGGTTCACTGTCGCTTTCATAGACGTCATTGGACGTTGGTGGATTCAGATGATGGGATTCTTTTTCATGACTGTTTTCATGTTTGCCATTGCCTTCCCCTACAAATATTGGCAACAAAAGGAGAACCGTATCGGGTTCATTATTATGTATGGGCTAACCTTCTTCTTTGCCAACTTTGGTCCTAATGCCACAACCTTCGTGGTTCCCGCAGAAGTCTTCCCGGCTAGGTTGAGATCTACTTGCCATGGTATATCTGCAGCAACTGGAAAAGCCGGGGCTATAGTAGGAGCCTTTGGATTTGTGTACGCCTCGCAAGAAAAGGATCCGGCTAAGAGAGATCATGGTTATCCCGCCGGTATTGGGAAGAGTAAGTCTCTTATCGTGCTCGGTGTCATCAACTTTATTGGTATGCTTTGCACTTTAATGGTTCCCGAATCTAAGGGTAAGTCACTTGAAGAATTAGCTGGCGAGGTTGAGGTCGATGACGACCGCAGAGGATCCGCTTGATTAACATTGCGGTGAATTGGAGCTGTTGCCTACTTCTTAATTATCAGTTGTTCGGCTCCAATATTTCTCTTGTTTGCTACTTCAGTTGCTTTAATTTGTTGATTGTATTGAGCTACAATGTTGATTTGGGCAATTGGGCTCAAATATTTTATGCTATTTTTTTTGTTGTTATTGTATTAATTTATTTGATTTACTATCAAAACGTGGCTTATGAATTTAATGAAATTTGAACTAAACTTTTAAAACTCTCTGTCCACTCTTTTAAAATTATTCCACACCTTTCTAGCTATATCTTCGCTTCAAGGCGAGTCAAGGATAATTCATATGCTTACTTTCACAAAGTCGAAAGAATGCTTTGAATTCCCGAATTCAAGTTAGTTTCTTTAGTCGATTCATTTCAAAATATATTACCTCTATTATATAAGCTAATGAAGAGATATCCTTGTCCACTTAAAATGCCCTTAATTTTTACTACCTTCGATTTTGTTTTTTAGTTGTAACTTTCGAATATTTTATATCTTACAAATAATACTCCAAAGTTGCAACTAATAAAAATCAGAAGTAGTTTATATGTATCAGTTTTAGTGTTATTATTACTTCTTGTCTTCAATTTATAATACTTACAAGTTACAACAAGCTTTTTTTACATACGTTATTTAAGAAAAGTGGATTTCACATGATTAAACACACTTAAAATAAGGTTGAGAGATATTGTTATGAGTATAATTAAGAGTGTCATGAGCTTTTTTTTAAAAAAAAGATGAAAATACAATTTTTACAGAAAAAAAAAGTTTATAATCATAGTGTGTTGCTAGTGTTGTGACAATTTCATTTTAGAGATGTGTTATAAGCATTAAAAAATGAAGGAAATGTATAACTACAAATTAGTGTGTAGCCCGGGCCAGACGTTGCGCCAGGTTACTACTTTAAAACATAATGTTGTAACAAAAAAGAAAAAAAAAAACTTAACATTGTCTTAATATTATTGAAGCTATTCCTTTTTATTAATTTTCTCTAGGCTATATATAAATTAAATTTTTTTATCCTTATTATGTGCTTACTTAAACATATACTATTAATTTATGTTTATACACTAAGCTAGGTAAAAAAAGGAAATTGGCACTGGTTTGAACCGGTGCCAATGTGGGGGGTGCCATTTAGTGGATAAAAGGCCACCGGTTCAAACCGGTGGTAAAAATCGAAATTGGCACCGGTTAACAGGTGCCATAAAATCCCACAAAAAATTATTTCAAAATTTTTGGCACCGGTTAACCGGTGCCAAAAAATCCCAAAAAATGTATTTTTTTTTATTCACTAAAAAATTATATTAACTAAAAATCTAAAATAAAGAAGAACAACAAAATATAAATCAACTATCATTCAATATAATCGAAAATTTACAGTATATAATAAAAAAAAAATTACAATTTAGATCTATAAAATTGATCAATTACAACATATAAATCAAAAAACAAAATACTACAAAATAAATCAAGAAAAATATTACATAAAAATCAATACTCTAAATCAATACTCTTGATTCTTGATTCTTCGATTATGTGCACTATTTTAGGCTTGCAAAGCAATAGTATACCTGCATGAATCGATTAAATTGAATTAAATTAGCCGTGGAAAAAAAAACCAGAAAAAAATCGAATCGAATAACAAAAAAACCCTGAAAAAAAAAATCGAATTTAAACTGAATTAGCTGTGAAAAAAAAAATTAGAAAAAAAATCGAATCGAATAACGAAAAAAACCCAGAAAAAAACAAAATCGAATTTGAATTGAATTAGTTGCGAAAAAAAAACCAGAAAATAAAAAATTGAATCAAATAAAAAAAACCAAGAAAAAAACAAAATCGAATTAAAAACAAAAAAAAAAATAAAAAAAAATTGAAAATCAGTTAAAAACCCAGAAAAAATCAAATTTAAATTGATTAAAATAACAAAAAAAACCGATTAAAATAAGTTTAAAATCCCAGAAAATAAAAAAAATAAGAATTAAAATAAGTTAAAACATCGATTAAAACAAACCAAAAAATAGAAAATCAGTTAAAAACCCATAAAATAAAAAAAAGAATTAAAATCGATTAAAATTAAAAAAATCGATTAAAATAAAAAAAGTCAAATTAAAATCGATTAAACTAAAAAATCAAAAATCGATTAAACCCTATCTTGCTCATGCGTGCGTTCTTGGTGGATTAAACCAAAAAAAATTCGAAGAAACCCAGAAAAATCAATTAACATAAAGCCCAGAAAATCAATTAACCAGAAAATATTTCGAATTCAAATAAAATTAAATTAAACCCAAAATTTTCGTAAATCAATTAAACGCAAAACATTTCGAAAATCAATTAACCCCAGAAAAAACCAATAAAAATCACAAAAACCGAAATTTCGAACAATATTACAACAATAAAACCCATAAAAACAAGGCATTTAATACTAACCTCAAATAATCTAACCCAAAAATCAGAGAAAAGGATAACGAGAGAAAGAGGAGATGAAAGATTGAAAGAGAAAGAGATTCATAGATCAGAGAAATAGAACGAGAGAAAGAGGAGATGAGAATGAAAAATCAGAGAAAGATAGATGAAAGAGAAAGGGATGAGAGAGAGAGTGAGAAGCGGCGAAATAAGGGTGGAGAATGAAATAGGGTTTGAGACTTTGAGTGGAGAGCGTTTTTTTTTTATTAAAGGCTTGGAACCGGTTCAAACGGTGGGCTTTATATTTTTGCCACCGGTTTGAATTAAACCGGTGCCTTTTTTCCTGGTTCATAAACCCGCCAATTTTTTAGCCCATTTGTCATCGGTTTGGACTGAACCGGTGGCAATAAAGGGGTGCCTTTTTAATTTTTTCTACTAGTGATATCAATGAGGAGACAATAAGGAATTAGCCAACTTTTTGCGGAATTATAAAAACTAAGCTAAAGGAGCTCAAAGTCACACAAAGAGATTTTAGCGTGGAAAACTTCTTGGCTCTAACAAGAAGAACAACCATGACCACTTGGGATTTTAGGAAAGATTCTTTACTAGAATATAATAAGGCAATCAACCTATTACAAGCTAAAGACTCTATCTCCAAGTAGTTCCTCTACAAACTTGGAGTTTCCATCAGGACTACGTTCCTCAACCTACTGCTCTTTTCTTCTCACTCTTTCTCTACTGACTTCTCTAGCTAGAGTTCATTCAAACTCCCAATCCCCAATTACAACTCTTGAAAGAAATACTCTAATGAAATAAAATAAGAAGTTAACAACTTAAAGTAGAATGCGACTCTTGACTCTTATGAAAGTTAAGAAGGTAGAAAATAAGATTGAGCAAGGGTGAATTTTTTCAGAAAACAACTTAGGTATTTATAGAAAAACTTAGCTAGATTAAAACGCCGTAACTTCCTCCACGTGCTTACGCCACTACCGCTGCACATCAACGCCACTATGCTCCATCACTTCTAGTGCTTCAACCATGTCCTAAAACTCAGGGCACGTTGAGCCACTTAGAAGCAGTTTCTTCGTTTAGTGGAGGACTTAATCAATCACCAGTAGCGAAAGTTTAGGGAAACAATTGCATAATCTTTTTAAAGATATTTTTTTTTGAAATTAAAAATATATTTAATTGTATAAGGAATCAGAAAAAGTTATTTTTCAAAACAAACTTCCCTATAATTTAGCAATCTTTAAATTCTATCTTAAACCAGATTTTATACACATCCCACTAATCATCCAACTTCAAATTACTTTCATTTACATAAAATCTAAAATATAAAATACTTTAGACTTTGTATATCTTCTTAAAAAGCCTCTGCTCTGAGTCTTCATTATCTTGCTTCTACTCCGAAGCTTAATTATGTTCCTCCAAAGGAACACTGCAACTAGTCTTCTGCTTCTTTGAGCTCTTCTTCCTTTGTCTTGAATAGCTCTGCATCTTGACACTTCAAACTACACAACTTATTAAGACATTAGGCTAAACATAAGTTTGACTTGTGTCATCATCAAAACATCAAGGACAACAAACATGTTCGAAACTTGTGGGATATTTTTTTCTCATTAATAGTGACATGTATACTTTTTCAGTTATTCTCATTAATAGTGACATTCAAAATTAGTAATGTTTTATTTTTTCTTACCATTATAATATTAATTTTACTTTTTCCATTCAATTTGATTTTTATCTTGCCAATGCATATATATTTACAACCTTCATATCTATAATTAAAAGAAAACAATTTGTGTAAAAAAAAAAATCATAGAAAGAAAAATCTAATAAGATTTCAACATGACTATATTTTATTCAACGTATAAATCAACCAATAAAGGTGGTCAAATAAATGTGAATAGTGCAAATATTTTCAAATGTTTCTATCAAAAGCAAACAGAGGAAGTATATAGCATCTCTTATATGTACTTTGTATAAGTGAAGAGAAGCTTTAGACTTTTAGGTATTAAACTTTACTTTCCCAAAATTACCTTTGCTTGCCATTTTTTTTAAAATACAAAAATAATAATAATAATTATTATGACTTCATCAGTTGTTTTTCAATAACAATTTTATTTTTATAATTTTTTTTACTAATATATATCTTTTTCCTATCGATCAACAGTTTTTAAATTTAATGAATCCACTAATATTTACTCCCTCCATCCCTTAATTAGATTCCAACTAACTATTATACGAGGAATATAGAAATAGGAATCTAATAAAGAGATTAAGGGAGTATTGTTTCTTTTTTTTCGAATAAAAAGGAGAATAAAGCCTAATAGGTTTCTTATATTACGCACATACACGATAAATTTCTTAGCTTGTGCTCTGTACAGTAATGTATGCCCCAGAACTTTAGTGACTGATTAAGAAATTAAAAAATTATTCCCTTCGTTTTTTATTTAAGTGCCTCATTATTTTGACTATGGCACTATTCATAGGCATTGTTTTGACCAATGTTTGTGCTGTATAAGTAAGATAAAATATAATCAACGAAAAATTGCAAAAAATCACCTTTTATAACACCTTTTTTGTGAAAAAACACCTTATAAAATTTTCTTGTGAAAACACAATTAAAACCATTTTTTTTGTGCTAAGTAACACCTTAACCCTGTTTTAGGTGTTTGAATTGGTTTTCCGGCTTTGACTTTGCACGTGTAGGTCACGTGATCTCATAAAACCATATCCTTTAATTTTTTCTTTTTTCCCTCACCAACACCACCTCACGTCCTCACTACCACCCCCACCAACACCACCTCACGGCAACCACCAATTCACTACC